ATGAGTATCTTTTGGTCATAGTAGTTTCTGTCGACATTCGAATAGCACTTTGAACCTAAGTTTGAAACAATATATAAAATAGGTGTACTTAAAGTCAATGGAACAGACATTCCTTGTATGACACCTTTTCCTGTTATAGGAAACTGTTGGTAGTAAAAACCAGATATAAGTTTTGTATTATAGCTCATATCGTTTATACTAAACTCAGTCGGACATCCAAACATAATGAAACCTGCTCTAGTTGCAGCACATGTTACATCCGTCCTTAAAGTATTAAATAAGTCAACAAAACCTGTTGGTGGTATATCTGAGTAAGTATCTTCAAAGAGTATTTTTTACCATTCACAACAACAAAGTCTTCTGGTGTCAAAAGAGCAAAACAGGCTTTAGTCGTCATCGTGTTTAAGGTCAGTTTACAATATCGTCCTTGAGGACTTTGTAAGTTTGTTGTTATAGAATTATATGACTCAGGGTTTTTAGTCGTAATAGTATAAACCACTATGTCTTCTGCCATTTTTACTTAGCAAACAAACTTTAATGAAATGTTGTGGTCGTCAAATATTTTTATGACGTCTGGGAAACTATATTTTAAGTTCAACGTTTCACCTCCTTTCATAACGTATATCTTGTCAATGACATTGTATGAAACACCACAGCAAGCAATGTCGGGTTCTATTTCTTTGATGTTTATATCGTCTGCCTCTGTCAAAAGTTTCAATAGTTCTTTCAAAATTTCATGAGGTGCGATGACATATGAGTTCACTTTTACAGGGTTGTGTTCGACCAAGTTTAACATTATACCCAAAGCTTGACAAATCTTCTCCTGAGTTTTAAGTTTGTCTTTAAGTTGTTGGTAGTCGTTTCGAATATCTGCAACAGAACTTAAGTCTCTGCTAACTTCAGGATATGTTGGTTGTTCTTTTACAGGAACTATTGTTATACCATCTTCGTCTTCGTATGGTTTCCCCACTTCAACATCTCTTTCTTTGACATTGACAACAACACTTTGACTGTTTGTTTGAGTTGGTGAATTTAACTTCACATCTGCCACGCCATTAAACCTTTTGAAACACTTACGCTTCTATTTTTCGGAAATGACATTTTACTTAGAATAAAAAGATGGACGTATTTGAGTATCTCTTCGAATTGAAGCAAAACAAAGTTTACACACACAAACAATACAAGTTCATTGATAGAATAGTTCTTTATACAAACAATGGAAAATGTTATAGAATAGCAGTCTTTGCTGAACCAAAATATTTTCATAAAGCAAAGAAAGTTGGTATAACTGAATGGTGAAAGTTCTTGAAGCAGACAAAAATATAACAACAAAACTGACCGATATTTCTAAAGGAAAGTTTTTAATACAATATTATATCAAAACTGGCGTACTGTCAATATTTGACGGAGAGAAGTCAGTTCAAGAACAACTTACTGACCTGCTGCCAAAATCTGCTCGATGGAAGCTGTCGTTATACCAATCTGAGGAGCCCCAGCAGGTTTCATCGAACGAATCTTCAAAAGAGCATCTTCCGTGAAAAGTGCTATTGGTTTTGTAAACTTCTTTGCTTTCAATTCATTGGACCGTCTCTGTCACCAGTATATTGTATTTGAACTGTACCAACAGTTGAAATACCACCCATAAAGTCTTCTGAGTCAGCAAATGGAATGCCAAGCCAAAAGTTTGAACGGTCTCCATTTGTATATTGAGTGTTTTTGAGCTCCTGTATGGGTCCATACTTTCACATATGGCATAATAGAACTTTGCATTTCAGGGTTAATGGTTGTTGTGAAGTTGTTGTTAAAGTTCATAGCATCTAATGTCAAGTTGTATGACCTCATATCCTCAACTGTAGAATATTCTTCTCTTGGATAGTATTTGCCATCTATGTTTATATGATATTTAATACCGGGGTTGTAGAAACAAGAATAGTCATTTATAGTTCGTCTGAACAGTACAAACATAGTATCTGCATGTTTCATTGCAGTTGTTAAGGCAATATCTGTTCTTGCACCTGGGTCAGCACTTTGGTTTCCAACTTCACCTGCAAAGTCTTTGACAGATATTTGGTGTATAGGGAACATAAGTGGAACTGCAATATATTTGGCAGCTAAAGCATTTGAAATATCTGGGTCCAACATATAGACTGCAAGTCTGCTTTCTATTCTCTTGCATTCAAATTTTTCGCATGTGAACTTAACTGGGTCCCAAGCATTCCAGCAGCATTGAAATAGTAGTTTACTTCAGTGTTGAGGTTTGAGAAACCAAAGTCTAAGTCAACTTTGTTTTTGCAAAAGTCGGCGAATGACATTTTTTTGTTCCACTACTTCTGTAAGAGTGAATGGGTCTTGTGTTGGTGCAATGACTAAGTTATTTTTGCTTGGAGTAAGTTCGATAGAAATTTTTCCTGCCCAGTTTGGCAAGTATCTTAAAAACCTGAAGATGAGGAAAGATGACAAAGGAACTCTAAGTTTCAATTTTACTTTGGTTACTGCTGCTGCATTTGTCCAGAAAGGTTAACATAAACTCCTGGAACGTTAGGGTCAAGTCTTCTTATTTTCTCAATAGTTGCATACTGGTCTGTTTGTTCTCTAGCTTGTGGTTGTACTGAGTTTCTCAAAGCGAACCATTCATAGTTTGCCCATGTTACTGTTTGAACTAAGTCAGAGTTAGAATATATCTTATATCCCATGAAAACTTCTGGAGCATATTGGTATCCGACATAGAAAATTCCATTGCAACCTTTCTTGTCAGACAACTTGGCAGAAGGTTTTATTTCAATGTCTTGTTCCACGTATAAGAAAGAGTTGTCAATAGAAATTATATGAAACCTGTCGCAAGCAATATCTACTGTTGTTGAAGAACCTTCTCCAAACTCACCTACGTTTCCATAAGAAACAGCAGTTGTATATTCGTAAGTTCCAGGAACTATTTCTGACCTTCTAATGGCATTGTCGCATTCGTTATACCATTCGGAAACATTTCCATTCATAGCATCCAAAACTGTTGGCGTTATATTCTGAGCGGCGTACATTTCATATGGGTAAAAATATAGAATAGTTGGATTTATATGTCATAATAGAACCACTGACCAAGCTTTACTTTCTTCCTGACTGAGTTTTTAACTCTTCTTTTTCCTTCATTGCCCTCTGCTTCAAGTTGTTGCATCTTTGCATTATGTTCATCTAGTATGTTGCAAATTTCCCATGTCCTTTTTGCCTTTGGGCTCTGGTCGCCCATCTCAGGTAACCTATATCCTAGAAAGAGTTTGTCATAGTTTGTATTTGAGTCTTCGCGTATTGTTTGCATGACTCTTTCCTGAGTTTCCGGTTCAAGCTCTTCAAACAGTGCCTGTCCATATGGAATATGCTCGTTTCCAAATATATGTTTTTGTAGCCATTCTGGTTTTCTTTCCATGTTACCAACTATATCTTTTGTGAATGGGAAAGCTTTTACCCAATCTTTCAGTCTTGCGTCGTTTATTTCTGTAGTTGGTTTTATTTTGTCAAGGAACATGTTTTTCAATACTAACATTTCATTTGGTACTGTCCATTTGAGTTTTCTTAAATATTCATCCCTTCTCGGTTCATTGTCTGCAAAGTAAGTTTTTATGACATTTTGTAAACTTTCGTTTGCAAGGTCATGTACAATAGGTTCTCTTCCTTCTCCTCCCTAACTTTTTTCTAAACTCTTCACCAAATATACCATCTCTATGGTTCTGTGTAGTTCTTTGAGATAAATGTTCTAGAACGTCAGGTGTTATATTTCCATCAGCCATGTTCATTTCATACTGGTCCAAAATATCTGCATGTTTCATATCTTTCAATGGCATTAAAGCCGCGCTTAAAATACCAGCTATATCTGGTTCACCATTCACTTCCATTGCGTCTACAACTTCTTGGAATTGTGGTTGTAAGTTTATGAACCACCTATCCGGATTAGCTTTATGACCCCATCTCATTGTAGTTCCATCGTCTGCAGAAACAAAAGTAGGTTTGTTTCCATCTTGGTTAGGTTCTGAATGAACTTTAAACAATGTTTCATTTCTATATGTTTTGTTGAAATTTAACCTTTTATTTTCACCGAGTTCATCCGAAAGATTGAACGTTAATGCTCGTAAGTAAAAAGGGTTGTTGTATTTGTGTACATTTTCTTTCAGTACTTCCATTCTATGCTGAATATTTTCATCTGGTGTTGGAGTCTTTTGTATGTCGGCAAACATTTTTCGATATTCTTCTACTATGTCAGCCGAATTTTTTTAGACTCTTGGAAATATTCCATATTCTCCGCATACTCTTGTTGAGGGTCAAGATTTTTCGGCTGTTCCAAATCTTCATCTAGTTCTGTGAAGTTAGTTTCCAAAGGAGGACTTGTTCGTTTCCTTCAGGCTCTTCTAGCTGTTGTTGCTGAACTATTTCTTCCATGTCTGGTTGTATCTGAACTTCTTCCTGTGGAGTTTCTTGTACCTCATCTGCTGGCATTTCATATATTCCGAGACCGTTTTCAACAATTTCCCTATTACGTCATCCGCATTCATAAGCTTTTGTTCTTTCGTTCCGTCTCTATTTTTTACGCGTTTCATGACGAAAGTTGAATTCATTTAGCTCTGACATCAAATATCTCGGAGTAAATTCATCATGTCATTTGGATGATATGCTATTAAATCATATCCCTTAGCGAGCTTGTATTTTCCAGGTTTGAATTATATCCGTTTGGTGCTGAGCCATAAAGCTAAATAGGTTCGGGTCAGTATTTCCATCCTTGAACTTTCTAATAGCTTCTTTATATCTGTCACTAAAGTCAATAGTATCTGGGAAACCACACTCTTCTTTAAGCATTTTTAAGAATTCTTGGTTTCCTTGTTCTCTACTTCTTTTATGTCCTTGCTCTGTTGTGGTGGTTGTTGTGCAGGGTTTTGAACTGTTGGTTGTTGTGCAGGGTTTTGAACTGTTGGTTGTTGTGCTGGTTGTGGAGGTGGTTGTTGTGCAGGGTTTTGAACTGTTGGTTGTTGTGTGGTTTTGGTGCATGCCTGTGTCTATGTCCATGTGACGATGTAAATGTTTTAGGTAGTCCTGGTGCAGGTGCTTCTCTTGGAGGGTTTGGTGGTATATAAGTTCCACCAGCTGGCACATATGTTCCATCTGCAGCGTAATGTCCTACCTGACTTTTCGTTTTTAAGAAAGCATTTACTAGGTCTGTTTTGGTCTGTTGTAACTCTTTTTCTTGACTTTTCACAACAGTTGCTCTAACGGCGTCATAGGCACTTTGAACTGCCTGTCTCGTTGCTGCATCTGTTATTTTCGTCATATTTTGTGCTACTTCTTTTAACTCTTTGTCGAAACCTTCAGACTTCAGTTTCTTTCCAGATGAGAAGTCGTTCACTTGTTTCACCTTACTATGAAGAGCTTCGAAGGCGTTCTTAAAGTCAGCATTTGTTAAAGCTTCATTTGAACTGTCTTCATCCGCTTGTATTTTTGTCCTTATTGACCCTATGAGTTGGGCTGCTTTAGCGTTGGCTTGGGCATCTAACCAGTCATTGTTAGCTTTTATATATTCCGCGCTTTTCATTGCCTTTTGCATGGCTGCGTCGTTATTTTTACTTTCTTGTGCTAAGTTTTCATACTGTACGGTTTGGTTTTGCAACTGTAAAAGTTTTTCTGCCTTTACATTTGCTTCAACTTCTTTTTTATACTCATCGCTATCCATATATGTCTTCAGGGCTTTTTGTTTTATCTCTTCATCTTTCAGTATTTTATATTGAGTAGTATGGTTTTTCAAATTTATGATATCTTGTTCCATTTTTGCTACTTCTGTTGCTTTTTCTGACACTTTTTTTGCATATTCCTCTGTACTTAGTTCTTTCAGTTGTTCTTCTTTCTTCTTTTTCTCTACGTTTAACTCATTGAGTTTCTTTGTGTGTCTGTCATATTCTAGTTTCTTTTCGTTTTCACTTATTTGCTTCTGTATGTCTATGTTTGACTTTTTGACATCTGTTATTTGATTTTTGAGTGAACTCAAATTCATTTGACTTTGAGGGTTATATGCTGTTCCGTCTGCAGCTCCACCATAGCCTGCCATTTTCGCTAAAAGTGCCGCTCTTAAACCTCCACTCTGTGCACCAACAACTCGGTTTAAAAGCATAGGATTGCTTGACATTTGTTGCAACATAGTGGGGTCATTCAGCATTTGTTGTTGCAACTGTTGTTGTGGTGTCAGTTTTACTATTGGATGTTTCAATGCTCTCTTCCTCTTACGTATATTCTTACGTAGCTTACGTGGCATTTTAAGTGAAGTTAAAAAGCGGTTTTTGACAGATGTATATATGACACTTTTTGTTCAGCACAAAAAACTACTCAGTCAAAGTGTTGTCAGTTTTGTAAAATAACCGTCCTATCTCATTCTATAAGGGGAAAAGGCTTCTCAAAGTATACTTCCTTGGAACGCCTGTAACTTTTCCTGTAGCGACGATAGACCCTTACTTGTCCGGACAAAGTTATACTATTTTGAGTGCTCTACAAAAAAGTCAACGGCGACGACTCTCAAAAACCGTTGTGTAAAAAGTTTTACCGTTGGACAAAAAAGTATATATAGAAAACAAAAAACGTTTATAGTTCATTCAATATTTGAGATGGAACGGTTTGCCAACGGAGACTTTTCAATAAAATAAAAAAATAGAGGGGGTTACCGTTGACGAAAACGGTTTATTTTAAACTTTTCTATGAGTAGTCCGAAAAAAACAGTTTATTTTTGTCTAATGGAAGGAAGAAAAAGTGTCGCAAGCAATTCGTCGACTACCTCTGCAGTTAAAGTTCCTACAACTTATGTCTCACCATTCTCAAAACCCTTACGACCTCCTATAATACCAAAGCAACTTCCTCATACAATTGCAAACAATTCGTCGACTACCTCTGCAGTTAAAGTTCCTACAACTTATGTCTCACCATTCTCAAAACCCTTACGACCTCCTATAATACCAAAGCAACTTCCTCATACAATTGCAAACAAATTGTCCAACAATTTGAGTTCTTCTTCTCAAAACACAACAGATACAGTTGTCCAAACAGCACCAGAACAAGTTTCACATAGTTCTACAATTCAAGACAAATTGTCCAACAATTTGAGTTCTTCTTCTTCTCAAAACACAACAGAAACATCTGAAACAGATTTACAACCAGCACCAGAACAAGTTTCACATAGTTCTACAATTCAAGACAAATTGTCCAACAATTTGAGTTCTTCTTCTTCTCAAAACACAACAGAAACATCTGAAACAGATTTACAACCAGCACCAGAACAAGTTTCACATAGTTCTACAAGTATGTTAACAAGAGCACAATTTCAAGATTTAATTTCTCTTGAACAATATTCGAGTAACGAAACACAAAACCGACGACTGTAACCTCTCGCTACCCGAATCCATTCAAAGAAAATACGCCATGAAAAGACTGAAATTGTTGTATAAACTTCTTAACAATTGGGGGTCGAAGACAACTCAGATTATAGTGAAATGTTTAACAAAGTCATAGAATCTGTTAAACCAATTGAAAACGACATAAAAAATCCCGGTGTTCTTGTAGACCTTTTCGCCTCAAAATTACCAGTTACAACCAATCTAATAGCAGCACAAGCTATAGAGCAATTTATTTTATGTTTTCCCAAGCAATATAGACAACACCTCAGGGAAACAAGAATAGGAAAATTTCAATTGGTGTATCCTACAACATACAACTATTACGAAGAAGCAAATGAATATGGAGAACTCTCATTCCATTTCACACTTTCAGTTCCTGAGGGAGAAGAAAAAGCAATCTTTCATGTACAATCTCTTGCAGGATGTGAAGGAAAACCTCACATCATAACTACTGTTGCAATTGACAAACCTGCAAGAGTCGAAGACGATGTTTTGTTCGCGTCCATTGCTGGTTTTGGCATGGGAGAACCAATTCCAATTTCCCATTTCACAGAATACTCAGCACAACATTTTCAAAATGTAGAATTCGTGTTCTACGACCATCAAAAGTTCCTGCTAACAAAACCAAAGAAACAATTTGTCTCAATATTTGTTGCTGGTCATGTGGCTGACAAAGAGCCATCAGATACTGACTATGAAGAAGAGGAGGAGGAAGAAGAAAACGATAGCGATGTCGTTCTTATCGAATAAAAACTTTAATTTTTTACTAAACATCTTCGGGGCTAGAAGGGGCGCAGCCCCTGGAAGCCCCAATTCCATTTTTTTTTTTTTTTTAACATGATCGTTATATTGTTAATAAATCGATTATTGTTTTGAATGGATTCATTACAAATTTCAAATAAATATTAATCTTTTTAACCATAACACGGAATTATAAATTTACAAGATAGCATATATAACGGAGAGACTGATAAAATTAGCCTATATCATTGAAAAATCATTGAATTTTATGATTAGAGATGGAAAATTCAATTATTTTGTTCAAGAGTACTTCAGATCCATTCTCCACAATGATGCACTCTAGAGCATCTCTATTACAAAACTGAATATAATGTTTGTCAAAACCCTAATTAAACTCAACTTGAAAAAATTCGAGAGTATTATAATATTTCATACTTATACAATAACGAGATCATTATTTTAGTATTAAATAAATAGGCTTTTCTTGTCAGAAAAATTGAAAACTCTCCTAAGTTCAAAGAGATGAATGTCAAAAATATTTAAAAACCCCATTTATGAGACTTGGATATTACCAATTTGACCTAAAAATTCATATCGAGTTTTGACAAAAATTTTCGCCAAATCGGAAATCTTATTACCAAACATATAATCAATAATTTTCTTCGAAATTTTAAAAATTTTTTACTCGTTCATTAGAAAGGTACACCCACTTCTTTAAGGTTATTTTTTTGGATATGAAGGCTAACTTTACTCAGCTTTATTGTCTGAACTACTGATTTTGCTTCAACAAAAATTGCTCGATTCCGTTTTAAACAGCATAAAAAAGCATTGCCAGTATTTCTTTCGAAAACACTTTGAAGAAAAACAACTCATATTGCGAATTAAAAAATGAATATGTTATTTTGCTCCCACAAACTAGAACATCCCTTAAAATCATCATACATTAGATAACATGCACGAAAACGTGTACCTTAGAATCGCAATTTTCAACCCTCAAAATCCACTGATAGAAAATCTTTATAACTTAATTAATTCTTATACTCTGCTAGTAACAGTATCATTGCTAAACCTTCACAGATTTTCGTCTATACGATTTCGAGATACGAGATGCATTTCTCAAAATTCATTACTTTAATACGGATATTTACATTAAAACACGATGTTTATTACTAATATATCTTTTCTACATACTTTTTTTCTTCATATTATCCAAATATTATTTTACCATATTTCGAAATATAGCATTCAATGCAAAAATACAAATATTTTATGACTCAAATCCAATATGATAATATATTTCAATTGTATAAGCTCAATTAGCATAGTCCGAATATATTGAAATTTCCAAAATTTCAATATATGATTATTTTAGTGCTACCGTATGGTTTTATGATAATAAGTACACATATCTATAATAAAATTAAGTGTTAATAATAAAATTTATTCAAAAAATATCGAAAATAAATTAATGAAATTTCACAATAAAACAGTTACTTGTGATTAATAATGCAAATTTGTCGTTTTAATTTATTCATGTTTTGCCTTTGACACACAAATTTTTTAAAAAATGATGAAAATAATGGAATTTATTATATTTTTTCGTCGACATCTAACTCAAAATCCTATAGAAGGAATTTCCAAATTCCTTGATGAAACACTTTCAGATACCCTGTAGAATCTACATAACAAAATTCAAACAAAAACTATCAGTGGAAGTTTAGTGGGTGTACCTTTTTCATTAGGGTTATTTTCAGAGAACAAATTTTTCATTACTTCAAGTAATCCAACAGGTACCTCTATTTCATACGAATTATATTTAAAGCCTTTTGAAAATATTGAATTGATAGTATATAATTCAGTGATTGAATCGGTAGGTTTACAAGATTAATCATAAAATGCTCTATAACTTGTATATATTCCGAAATATTCGCGATTGCTAAAAAAACAATCAATATGATTTTGAGAAGGCATCAAATCAAGAAATTGAATATAATCTTGGCCAAAATTAAAAGCTATATTTTTTCTTGTTATGGGTGTTCCATCTGTCCTCTTCGTATGCACAGGAAATATTTGTCGCTCTCCAGTTGCTGAAGTGATCTGCAGCAAGTATACAAAGGGCTCTATTAAGACTGATTCTGCTGGAATTTCGAATCACCACGTCAATGAACAAGCTGACGAAAGAGTTTTCGAAATCGTATCCCAACACGGAATCGATATTAGTAAGCATAGAGCCAGACAAATCCGCGCTGATGACTGGATGCTCTTTGATTACATTGTAGCCCTCGACCAGAAGGTTTATGATGTACTCTTGAACATGAGACCAAATACATCAATCTCAAAAGTCGTTCTTTACGGTAATATCAGAGATCCTTACTTTTGTGGTCGTACAGGATTCCACAAAATGTACGAAGAAATCGAAACAGTTATGCCAAAATTCTTAGAAAGCAACAAAATTTACAACATGAGCTAAGTTCATGGCTTATCTATATATTTTTTTTATAAATGTTTGTTATTTTAGCCATAGATCATAAACTATTCCACTATCCCTGCTTTCTATATGATAGATCTTTTATTATTTTTTTTTCGTTTTGTTGGTAATGTATTGCCTTGCATAACGATTTTTGAACGTTTTGTTCGTCTAAGAAATCTAAGGAGAGGAAACAAATAGTTGTGTGAGCGCAATTAATTACTACTGGGATATTAGCATTAAAGTCCAATATTGGTGAATATGAAAATAACTCTTATATTATTTCAGAATGTTTGAGCTTAAGAGTAAATCACTTTCAAGTAATACAGACTATTTATAAAGGAATTGGATGCACAATAGCATTTTGTTATTTATGCCAGAAATGGAATGTAATTTTCTTATGGCAAACCCAAATTTTAGCTAAAAGTGACAGGAAAAAAAACGTTTAGTATTAAAAAAAAGACCGATGAGAGCTTCGTTCGAAATATAGAGGGAACTGAGAATGCGCAACCATTCTCAGGGAATATTGGATGCTATTCCCGTTCCCTCTGTATGGAAAATTGAGGTTTTCAAAGGGAGTTAAAATAATATCAAATTTATACTAATTTACTTCAAAATACAAAAGTATTTGACAGCTAAAATTAGTTACTTTAGCAAGCCTATCAATACCCTTTTACGATTATTGTTACTTTTTCGAAATAAAAGTAAAAACCAATTTATACTAATTTACTTCAAAATACAAAAGTATTTGACAGCTAAAATTAGTTACTTTAGCAAGCCTATCAATACCCTTTTACGATTATTGTTACTTTTTCGAAATAAAAGTAAAAACCAATTTATACTAATTTACTTCAAAATACAAAAGTATTTGACAGCTAAAATTAGTTACTTTAGCAAGCCTATCAATACCCTTTTACGATTATTGCTACTTTTTCGAAATAAAATAAATTTATTAGCAAAAACCTTTTTTTTCTTAGTAAAAATAAACGAAATTTTTTACCTTATGAACTTTTGATGGAAATATGCAAATTTAAAATAATAAAGAAAGCCGCGAGCAAAGCGATCGGCTTAGTTCGAAGATTTTGATTCAAATCTTTGCTGATCTGTAATTCGCGGAAGCCGCGAGCGAATCGAGCGGCTTAGGTCTAAGATTTTGATTCAAATCTTTGCTTATATTCCTTAAATTCTTTATGAAACTCGCAACAGTTCCATAAAAAATTTTAAATTCTAAACTGTCGAAATTACCGATCGGTAATCACACCCTTCACGGGTGTGTCACTTTTAGCTAAAATTACCCCTACTCATTTTCTTATGGAGTTTGCATGACCAATGGATTACTATTATATGTATTTATTGAATTGCGCAAAACTTGCTAAAAACTCAGAAAATTTAATAAAAAAATAACAAAAATAATCTTTAAGCGGAATAAGTAACAACATTTTCTCCATTACCATGAACCCATATGAAAGGTGGCATTGATTCGGAAACAACATCAATTGTTCCAAGCCAAACATTTGGATCTTGAGTGGCTCTTGGAATTGGCATCGAACAAAGAATCATTGAGCTCTGGGCACTTGTTTTGAAAATAAGATCTCTTAGCCTTAAAAATGTCTCTACTTTCTTCATTGTCATTTCATCGCAATTATTAATATTCAAAGCTTTCCATTTATCCATGCTTTCTTGGCTTGGCTTATCTTCAATACCATTCAGAACGATAACTTCTGCATTGATTCTGAACAAGTGCATAAGTTTGGTGATCTTCACTTGAATTTCATTAAGAGATTCTGTTCTTTCTGTTACAGAAAGTACTCTCAATGGACAATTCTTCCATGATTCCTGCATTTGAATCAAAAATCCAAGAAGTACTGTAAGACCACCATCATCTACAAGCCACCAAACATCAATTGGCCAAGTTTGTTCTAAACTCTGATCAACTGTTTCAAAGTTTCTTGCAAGACAAACACCAAGGTATGAATCGAAAGCTGAACCGACAAATTCGAAACTTTTCGGATTTTTCAGGAATTTTTGAGTTATGCTTGTACAAAGGACATTTGAAGTAATCTTTCCTACACCTGTTGATGATATAAGAGCAGGAATCTTCTCAATTCCAATTGTTCTCCAATTCTTGAATAAAACTGTTGCTGCAAAGAAATCAGGCTTAGTAATTTCCTGAGGATTATCAACACCATATGATGATAAGAACAATATTGATGATGAAACTTCTGCAGCATCATTAAATGGCAAAGCATTTTGTAATTGTTTCTTTTCAGTACCATCTCTTTCAATTAAGAACTCAAATATAGGTCTATAGTTCTTAACATGTGGTGCAAACTGATTAAGTTTGTCAATACGACTGATTGTATCAGAGAATAAAATTGATTGTGGATATTCTCCCCATTTGGAGTTAGAACTATCATGCCAATGGAAGTATCCGAAAATAATGCCAACAACAATAAAAGAAACCAAACAAATGATCCAATTGATCAAGAAAACTGATGCGAAGCACATAATTGCTCCAAGAACAGCAGTTATTGGATGATAATACTTCCAACTTGGTCTCCATGATGGTGCATGGGATAGTTTGCAAACTAAACTTGAAAATGAAACAATACCGTATGAAATTAAGAATAATGAGGAAATAACTGGACCAATTGCATTCAAATTCTTGAACACAAATGTACTAATAACAGTAAGGATGTATGCAAGTAAGAAACCCCATATTGGATCACCAGATTTCTTCTTTCCCCAAGCAAAGATGTCAAAAATTTTGGGCAAGATTTTATCTTTGCAAAGAGCCTGGAATGTTTTTGGAGCTCCAACCATTGCAGAAGAGACAGAGCTGAATGAGGCACAGAGCAAACCAATGTAAATAATCCACTTCCATGCACTAACTTCTGCCAAAAGTCCGTAATTATTTACAAGTGTACTTTGATCAGCTGCTGAAGCTAAGATTGTAGCAGTAATCAAGTAAACAACTGTTGTAGTAATGATAGCGAGTAATGTTCCCAAAGGAATTGCGTGATTTGGATCTTTAAGATCTCCAGATATGTTTGCACCTGCCATAATACCAGTGCATGCAGGGAAATAGACAGCAAATATAGTAAAGAATGATTCTCCTTTCTGGTATTTAGGATATAGGTTAGCTTTGATGTTCGATACTTTCCATGATGGTGTTTTTGGTATAGCAAAGCCGATGAATACCAGTACAACTGATATTATGATCACAATGAAAAGACACCATTGCATTACTGACTCGAAAGCCAATGAAATGCAAATTAAAATAAATGCGAACGTGGCTAGAGCGATGCCTATGATCTCTATATCCCATTTTCCATCTGTTGTAATAGGATGCGGCAGAATCATTTCGAGTGTTTCCTCGAAACCGAAGACATTTAATATGACGGTAAATAAAGTTGCCAAAGAAAAGACAACACCAATGGTACCACCAAAATCAGGGCCTAATGATCTTGATATACAATAGTAAACGCCGCCACCTTTGATTGTACCATTTGTTACTATAGCAGACAATGACAAAGTTGTGAAAATATCAGCAAGAGCGGAAACAATGATCATTACGTATGTGAGTAATAATCCACAGTTTCCAACGACCCAGCCAAGACGTAGATAATAAACAACTGATATGATATTGAGAACGCATCTAAGATAAACTCCATCAAACCAACCAAAGTTAGCACCTTTCTTAGATTTTGTAACAGGCATAAGATTGTTATCAACTGAATCTGCGTTTGTTCTGATATCTACGGGCGAAGCTCTCTTGATTCCAAAGCTTCTATAAAATACAGTCGCTGGAATGTTTTCATATGTATCAATAGCTGATGGTACTGCTGGACTTTCTAATTCCATGGCTTTTCCATCATCATGCTGGTCTTCCATGATATTTTATTTAATGATAGTCCTTTCAGAGGACCATTCAATTTTATAAAACAAAATCTTTATAAAAAAACGCGTGATAATAATTTAATTAATTTTCTCAAATGATGAAGTTTAACGATATTTCAATAATTGAGGAGGATGATCGATGAGAGCTAACAAAAATTTGAATTCAATGCTGATGTTACATGATGAGAGTAAAATTTTTGATGGAAAATAATCCAAATACTAATTCCCAATTAATTTTTTTTAATTTTATAGATTTCCTTCAATTTAAGGGAGTAAAAGTGGCATTGATCGTCAATTTTGTCACACAAATTTTTGAATAATCAGATTTCCAGGCGAATAATTCACACTTCAGGTTTGGTTGTATACAAAAGAATCATTTTCGGTATTTTTATCAAAAATGGGGCTAGATTCAAAAAATATCAATTTTATTGTCATTATGACACAGGCTTATATAAATTATAAAACGGGAAATCAGATCTATCCAAATACCAACATTATTACTTTAATTTGATATCCTTAAAAGATTCATAATTTCGATATTTTGTTTTCGTATATATCTGAATCATCCCATAATTCAGATGATTAACAATGGATATGTCCGTAATGTATCAGCACTTTCATGAAGCTCTTGATTCAAAATATTTATATGTTTTAAATTTTTAATTATTAAACGACTTATTATTATTAAATTATTAGCACCGAATAACTTTGGAACACATGTCCATCAAATGTTAACAATAAAAACGGATTCAAGGCTAAATTTTATGGATCCGGTAAAAACATTGGTTTTTATTAATCAATTCAATGAAGATTATATCTTATAAGATGAGTAGATCAATAACACGCAATATTAACCATTAAACCTCATTCTTTTTGAATCAATTTCCATTTCAAATCGTGATTTTAGCACTTTAATGCAAAATTGTTGCATGCTAAGTTCGGTCAACGATAGAAATTGAGTGGAAATTAATCGTCGAGGAAGTACGATTATGTAAAGTAAAAAATGTTGTGGGATTTTTAATATTATATATTATTTTATAATAAAAAATTTTTTGAGTCATTTTAAGAAGCACATATAATTTTTTGAATTTAAAAATTAAAGTAGTGTCAAACGAATTTATCACTTAATTTAATACTCAGATTTCTTAAAATTAATGAAAAAAGTGTTTTCTGAGAACTTTTGAGAATGGTTTTCAAATTCCATTATTGAAAATATATAGGTATTGTATGAAATTCAAACTCTATATTTATTAAAATTCTAAATTTTTAATAAAATAACTTTTCAGAGGAATATGATTTTGAATGGTTGATTAATAAGTATAAAAATGTCTACGATTTTAAGGAGGGAATTGTTCCTTATGAGGTATACATCATAACTATATACCTCATAAGGAACAATTCCCTCTAGATAGCTGGGAAACTTTCTCTGAATAACTTATCATTTGGAGAAAGTTTCCCAGCTATCTATTAGAAACTAAAGGCTGTGAGGCACTAATATATAATCAGTGCCTCATAGCCTTTAGTTTCTTATTAAAAACGAGAAAACTTGTTCGAAATGATAAACAATTTCGAACAAGTTTTCTCGTTTTAAGGAGGGAATTGTTCCTTATGAGGTATACATCATAACTATATACCTCATAAGGAACAATTCCCTCTTGATATCCTGGATATTTTTGAATATATTTTTTTAATTAAAGTTCTCAAAAGTATTATCAAAAGTGATTTTTTAAAAATATCTCCAATTAATTAACTAATTAAAAGTATTATATTTTTAAAATTAAATAGTTTTTCAATTTTTTTGAAGGAATTGAGATACTTCCCACGACAATAAAATTGAGAGGTTTACATTATGACTGATCTTAGCATGCAACAAAATAAGATATATAGTAATGAAGTCATATTTATATATAAACAACGAACAAGAACAATAGCAATTTAAACTTTTGTCACTTTTTATAATGTAAAGCTTTACAACATTTTTAATTTCCTTGCTTTATTTGACTTCTTCAGTCCAATTTAGCGCCAAATTAATAACTGATGATTAGGCATCAATTGGGTCTCAATATTTTAGCAGCAACGACTTTACATCTTTTTCAAAAATTTTAGAATTTCGAATTCAAAGATTTTACGTTTTTATTTCATATTAAATTCCTCAACAGCAGTTAGATAGGTAGTTTTCATAGAGTCCAAAAAAATAAATATTATTTTTCGAATTTCATCAAAAAAGCTTGTGAACCACTGAATTCTAGGACCATTACGATTAATAATTTTTGATTTATTTTTAATTTCCTATTTCGATATAAATTTTTTGAAAAAAACTGAAATGAAGTTAGTTTCACACGGTTGATTACTCGTAATTAAAAACAATCAGTTGAAAGTAATATGAAATACGGCAAAATGATAAATCTTGAGTTTTTGATTTCCCTTTGTAAATCCTGAGCCGAAGAATGATCGATATAACATATAGAATGTGAAAAAACATATGTGATAATATCGCGATATAATTCTTATTTTTTTATAAAATAATTACCCTATTACTTAAAAAAACCAGAGCGCTATTTGCAATAGTACTTTCATAAGATTTGGTATAACAATTAAGACTTACTGAAGTGAGTGATTTAGGTCTTTCGCATATAAATCCCTATAAAATATATATAACTTGAAGAATATACTAAACAAGGAATACATTCATCAGGATATATAATACCCAACACAATATTTAGCATAAAATCTAATTTACGCAATAATTTTCCAAACAATAGAAAATAATTGCTTTAATCATGTTATCTAATAACTAATTTACAATAATATGAAATGGGGTAGTCAGAAATCAGTGAATTCTTGTTGCTCTATCAGTTTCATAAATATGACTTCTTTCAAAAATCCAACTTTTCGTAATCATAAAGAGACTTATTTATCTACAATATTTTTCATTTTCAAATTAACATTCAATTTCTTTTAAAAAGTTGTCAATAAAAAAAAGTCAGAAATGATGTTTAGTTTTATGCCATTATTAATATGAATATAACGTTGTTTTCAAATTTTCAAATTTTCAATACAATTGAAAATAATCAGAATGAAAAGAGGGAGGAAACCACGACCAATTCCAACTTCTGTCATTAACAAGAAGAAGGAAAAGGAGAGAATAGAAGAATTATATTATGCAGAGAGAAAACGACTTTATGCCGGAGAAGAAGAATTTATGAACACTTATCACCCATTCGAAGAATCTAAAAAAGGCTGCGGGAAGAAATCATCGCCATTACAGAAAGCAATCATTTTCTGCATGAAACAAAATAACGGGGCCGCTACAGAAGAACAATTGCTAGAATTTGTACGTAATAAGTGGGATATTATCATGAAATACACTCCACGAGGTTTTTCGATGGAACCATCATTACGCGTTATTCGTCTAAATCTCGTTGTGCGAAAAAAAGCTCGACATCTTTTTTTGAAAGATCCAAAAAACAAGGATTTATGGATGCTTAACTCAAACTTGCGAAAGATACCTGTCAAAAGAACCCTATTCAAAAGTTCTGCTGAAGAAATCCCTGAAGAAAATATCGAAAATTTAGCATCTGATTCTGGAAATTATAGCGACTCAGAACCAGACTCTATGTATGGAAGTTATATCATGAATCACGATACATTTGAAAGACATGTTGAAGACTTTATGAGATCAATTCAAACTAGCGTTAAAATCGAAGAAATTGCAAATTCATTATCTAAATATAAAGAAAAACAGGGTTTATTCCAATGTTTGCCCTTCGAAAGAAGAATTAGAGCTTGTCTAGTAGTCCTCAAAAGCGAAGGACGTGTATTTTTCGATGAATTAACGAATACTTGGAGCAATCAGAAACCACCCACAAAAATTGAGAAGCCGTCAGAAAATCGTTATCTTCTGACGGACGTAAAAATCCAAAATCTAACTATTGATGAGCTATATGAAATGGTTAAGAATAAATGTTTTGTAAAGTAATAATTGTTTTTTCTCAATTTTCACAATTTTCAAAGAAATATCTTTTCTGTCATTTTACTAAATTAATTTCATTTAAATATCATTAATCGTACACACTAATATAATACAATTCATATAAATAATTAATTCAAAAAAAATTGTAATTTGACTATTTCAATATCATAAACACATTTCTATTGTTATAAAAGTCTTAAGTGCTTGTGATCAGACAAATCTGTTTTTCAATAAGACATCTTAGAAAAAAAAATTGTAATTTGACTATTTCAATATCATAAATGTTGCATGCTAAGTTCGGTCAACGATAGAAATTGAGTGGAAATTAATCGTCGAGGAAGTACGATTATGTAAAGTAAAAAAATGTTGTGGGATTTTTAATATTATATATTATTTTATAATAAAATTTTTTTGAGTCATTTTAAGAAGCACATATAATTTTTTGAATTTAAAAATTAAAGTAGTGTCAAACGAATTTATCACTTAATTTAATACTCAGATTTCTTAAAATTAATGAAAAAAAGGTTTTCTGAGAACTTTTGAGAATGGTTTTTAAATTCCATTATTGAAAATATATAGGTATTGTATGAATTCAAACTCTATATTTATTAAAATTCTAATTTTTAATAAAATAACTTTTCAGAGGAATATGATTTTGAATGGTTGATTAATAAGTATAAAAGTCTACGATTTTAAGGAGGGAATTGTTCCTTAAGGTATACATCATAACTATATACTCATAAGGAACAATTCCCTCTAGATAGCTGGGAAACTTTCTCTGAATAACTTATCATTTGGAGAAAGTTTCCCAGCTATCTATTAGAAACTAAAGGCTGTGAGGCACTATATATAATCAGTGCCTCATAGCCTTTAGTTTCTTATTAAAAACGAGAAACTTGTTCGAAATGATAAACAATTTCGAACAAGTTTTCTCGTTTTAAGGAGGGAATTGTTCCTTATGAGGTATACATCATAACTATATACTCATAAGGAACAATTCCTCTTGATATCCTGGATATTTTTGAATATATTTTTTTAATTAAAGTTCTCAAAGTATTATCAAAAGTGATTTTTTAAAAATATCTCCAATTAATTAACTAATTAAAGTATTATATTTTTAAAATTAAATAGTTTTTCAATTTTTTTGAAGGAATTGAGATACTTCCCACGACAATAAAATTGAGAGGTTTACATTATGACTGATCTTAGCATGCAACATAAACACATTTCTATTGTTATAAAAGTCTTAAGTGCTTGTGATCAGACAAATCTGTTTTTCAATAAGACATCTTAGAAAAAAAAATTGTAATTTGACTATTTCAATATCATAACATTTCTATTGTTATAAAAGTCTTAAGTGCTTGTGATCAGACAAATCTGTTTTTCAATAAGACATCTTAGAAAAAAAAATTGTAATTTGACTATTTCAATATCATAAACACATTTCTATTGTTATAAAAGTCTTAAGTGCTTGTGATCAGACAAATCTGTTTTTCAATAAGACATCTTAGAAAAAAAATTGTAATTTGACTATTTCAATATCATAAACACATTTCTATTGTTATAAAAGTCTTAAGTGCTTGTGATCAGACAAATCTGTTTTTCAATAAGACATCTTAGAAACAAACTTACTTAATTTTTGTTTATTCTATCATTCCCTTACTAAATAAATCTTTAACTTTCCTTCTAGTTATATTTATCCATTCATCATCAATTTATGTTTTTTAACTTTTTTTCATATATATTTTTTCTGAATACCTACTGTAATATATTTTTCATTTATTATTTATTCAATTGCTTTTCAATTTTTTTCAAAACCTTATTCAAATTTATTTTATCATTATATATTTTTATATTATAAATTATTTAATTATTAAAACATGTTATTACGTTTTAATTTTTACTTTTTCATTTTTATACCCTTTTCAATTTTTTCTCAAATTTTCAATGCTTCTCAAATATTTCCATTCAAATATATCTTTACTAAAAATTTCTTTTTAAAAATCACAAATTCACTTATATTCTTATACGAATCAATCTGTATCATATTACCAAACTTCACAAACACATCTAACTATTCAAATCATTTCAAATTTAAAATCATATAAATTAATATTATGAATATCCTGTTCTTTTTCCGAATACCCTTTATTCCCACATTTCAATATATCTCTAAGTATGCAATAGTACCGATAAAACATTAATATCCCTGATATTTATAAAAATGTAATATCTGATCTTTTGATGATTATCGGTATCATATATGTTTATTAGTATTACCATATCTATTATTACATACACTAACAGTATATGACATTTACACTTTTATTAAACCAAAATTCAAAAGAATCTTTTTGCAATTTCGTCCAATATGAAATTAAATCCAATGAAACATACACAACATTCTCCGATATCTTCTGTAGTTGCATATTATATATTCAAACGATTTTTAAATAATGTTTCTATCAAATGTGTAGTGATTCCGTCCCGATTAAAAATTGAATACTTTTATCCCGATTTCCCGATCAATTCCGATGCCGCCTGGACACACAGAATTAGAGATCTCCAATAAGCATATTAAATAGATCAAATTTGAATTATGTCAATTAATTTACTCTTGACCCAATTTTATTTTTGATTTTTTTCAATGTAGTTTCGTGCGTATTATATTGAATGCCCAGTTTCTGATCCTAAATCAATTTATCCATTTGCTGTCTAATTGAATACAAATCGATGATTGAATTATTAATCAATAAGATTTATATATTAAACTAAGAAATATCATATGAAAAAGATCCTTATGCCTTATATACCACCATTCTTGCATTGAATCGCCAAGACAATCACCTCAATGTGAGTTACAAAAAAAATCCTTCAAACAATTTATTGAAATTGTGAGTGGTTATAACCGTTTTTTAATCCTCCTGCTGATTATAAATTGCTTTTTTAATGTTAACAAGAAGTTTTCTAATATTTTCTATACAAACTTATTTTTTTTAAAAAAAGTGCCGTGTGGCAAATTTGTCCTGTTCCCAAACTTAATTTCTTTGATCGAAAAATGACTAGGAAAAATAACTTTCACTTTATGACACTTTTTGCCAGAAAATACACTATGTATAAAACATCTACGATAATTTTATTTTTGAGGTACTAATCAAAATTTGAAAGTAATCTTGAATTTTGAATTTCAAGGTTAGGAAATCATTATGGAGCAATTTTTCGTTTATTATTATCTTAATGATGATCATATTTAGTATTATTATGGCTCTAATTCGAAAAATACGAATTTAAATTATTAAGGAATTAATCATGGGACATTTAATTAACTAGGCATTCATTTCTAATTGTTCAAATAAATTGAATTTTACAACCATTTGAAAGGCAAACCCAAATTTTAGCTAAAAGTGACAGGGAAAAAAAGTTTAGTATTAAAAAAAGACCGATGAGAGCTTCGTTCGAAATATAGAGGGAACTGAGAATGCGCAACCATTCTCAGGGAATATTGGATGCTATTCCCGTTCCCTCTGTATGGAAAATTGAGGTTTTCAAAGGGAGTTAAAATAATATCAAATTTATACTAATTTACTTCAAAATACAAAAGTATTTGACAGCTAAAATTAGTTACTTTAGCAAGCCTATCAATACCCTTTTACGATTATTGTTACTTTTTCGAAATAAAAGTAAAAACAAATTTATACTAATTTACTTCAAAATACAAAAGTATTTGACAGCTAAAATTAGTTACTTTAGCAAGCCTATCAATACCCTTTTACGATTATTGCTACTTTTTCGAAATAAAATAAATTTATTATCAAAAACCTTTTTTTTCTTAGTAAAAATAAAAATGTTATTTTATATCAAGTTTTTATTCATAAATTTTTATAATGTTGCATGCTAAGTTCGGTCAACGATAGAAATTGAGTGGAAATTAATCGTCGAGGAAGTACGATTATGTAAAGTAAAAAAATGTTGTGGGATTTTTAATATTATATATTATTTTATAATAAAATTTTTTTGAGTCATTTTAAGAAGCACATATAATTTTTTGAATTTAAAAATTAAAGTAGTGTCAAACGAATTTATCACTTAATTTAATACTCAGATTTCTTAAAATAATGAAAAAAAGGTTTTGAGAACTTTTGAGAATGGTTTCAAATTCCATTATTGAAATATATAGGTATTGTATGAAATTCAAACTCTATATTTTAAAATTCTAAAATTTTTAAAAATAACTTTTCAGAGGAATATGATTTTGAATGGTTGATTAATAAGTATAAAAATGTCTACGATTTTAAGGAGGAATTGTTCCTTATGAGGTATACATCTAACTATATACCTCATAAGGAACAATTCCCTCTAGATGCTGGGAAACTTTCTCTGAATAACTTATCATTTGGAGAAAGTTCCCAGCTATCTATTAAAAAATAAAGCTGTGAGGCACTAATATATCAGTGCCTCATAGCCTTTAGTTTCTTATTAAAAACGAGAAAACTTGTTCGAAATGATAAACAATTTCGAACAAGTTTTCTCGTTTTAAGGAGGGAATTGTTCTTATGAGGTATACATCATAACTATATACCTCATAAGGAACAATTCCCTCTTGATATCCTGGATATTTTTGAATATATTTTTTTAATTAAAGTTCTCAAAAGTATTATCAAAAGTGATTTTTTAAAAATATCTCCAATTAATTAACTAATTAAAAGTATTATATTTTTAAAATTAAATAGTTTTTCAATTTTTTTGAAGGAATTGAGATACTTCCCACGACAATAAAATTGAGAGGTTTACATTATGACTGATCTTAGCATGCAACAATAATGTTGTATAAATTTGAAGGTCGAAATCTGTAATAATTTTATCTTGAAAAGACTTGGCATTCTCAACAATGAATTGAGGGGTATTGCATCCAAATTCTGTAATTTGCATGAGAATACTAAGCTTGATTTCCATTGGGATACTTAATTTCGAAAAATACTGGGTCATTCGTTTTTGAACCTTTGCTGCCTTGACAACTTTATCAAGTAGGTCATCTAAACCCAATTGAAGCGTATTTAAGTTTGCTGATGAGTTAACTATTAACAATTTAATTTTATCAGTGAGCATTATACATTTTTCTGTATCCAGTCTGATTGTAGACTTTTTTGGCTTTTTTTCAGATGGCAACGGATTTGGAATTTTGTCTCTGAGCCTTATATCTTGAGAAATTCTGTAATAAAATGAAGGAACGATAAAATCGATTAATTTCATCACAAATCGATCAAATCTCATGAAAATTGTTCCGCCAAAATAGTAATATTTAATTTTTTTGTTAATCGATTCTGAAATGTTATTTGTGAGAGCTAAATTTTCATCTCTTTCAGCGGCTGTCCATCTTTCTTGGTTTGATATCCATTGATTTTGTATGTATTTTGAAAATTCTGGGAATTTTTCGGCTATTTCCAGAATTTTTTTGAACGTTGGTTCAATCCATTCTTTCTTGCCATTTCTGCCGTATGCAAGATAGTTCATTTTTGTATCTAATATCAATTTGTCTGAACTCTCAAATGCATAATCTTTCAAATTTTTCTGAACGCCCTCATTACATGAACTGCACACCAATGAAGGATAACTTCTGGAAAAGAGTTGATAATCGCATTTTCGATTTCTTGTGCACAATCTGACATAAAATATTTTGGTTTTACTTTTGCCCAGTTAAAAAATGCCTTGAGACAGAATGCAATATTTTCTGAAGTGTTTGGATAAACGACAAATTGAAAAATTGGGAATGCATGTGTATTTGGAAATTTGGCTGATATCATGTAAAACAACATTTTAAATTCAAGTAATGAATGGGTTGCATCAATAAAATGCTCTTTCACAATTTTGATTATGTCCAGAAATTTGAAAGAAGCATAATAAAAGATTAATTTCTTTGGTTTGTTGTAATTATCGACATCGAAATAAATTAAATCTTTTGGTGACTCTTGTTCTTTGATACCCTTAAATAATTGAGTTGACTTGAATTGATTATCATCGTACTTTTGAATACCTTTGATCTTTTTATTTCCTTTTTCCTGAATTGTTTTCATTTGATCTGAAGATGCATTCAAAAAAGATGGCCTGTTAAGTGGATCATCCAGATCAAGTTTTTTGTCGCATTCAATTTGAGCCATTTTCGGATCACCCCCTGTTTTATAAAATTAATAAGTACCCGACGATAGCATTGTGATAATGTGTGGTATTTCTTTGTCTCATCTTTGATTTGATTGGGATTATGTGTTCCATTATATTCTGTTAGGATATATTCTTCATCATCCTTTAGAAATGAGATACATGCTTCACATTTATCTGCACTGCACCTGAATTTTAATTTTGTTCCCCCTAAATTTGGATTTTTTTTAATTGATATGGACAACCTGCATGGCATTCGTTATCAATGACAGCTTTCATAGCATCTATATAAGATAGCCTTTCTTTAAGTTCGCATGGTGCATCGATATGCATCAAAAAAATGAAATGAAATTTCAATATCAAAAAAAGCACAAAATTTGAAAAAATTCACAAATCTCAGTTTCTGAAAGAAAATGGCCTCTTAAACTTTGTGCATATATTCATCTATAAGACACATTGTATCCATATATTATTTAGCCAACACAACTTATCTGGTATCGAGAAAATTCAAAAAAAGCACAAAATTTGAAAAAATTCACAAATCTCGGTTTCTGAAAGAAAATGGCCTCTTAAACTTTGTGCATATATTCATCTATAAGACACATTGTATCCATATATTATTTAGCCAACACAACTTATCTGGTATCGAGAAAATTCAAAAAAAGCACAAAATTTGAAAATTGCTCGGTTCTACATTCAAAATAAATTTCATTAATTTTTACGTACATATTAAGGTACTTATCTTCTACATATATAATCTTCATTAGATATATACATGATAAATAAAATTCATAAAACATTAAAAATCAAAAAATTAGATGAACCTTGGCAATTAAACTTTATTAAATAATAGTTGTTTATAAATTATATTATATTATCATTTAATATTATTTTGATAATGAAGATTTTATTTTGCAATAATATAAACGAAATTTTTTACCTTATGAACTTTTGATGGAATAAGGGTTTCGTTTTGCTAAAATTGTCACTTTTATAGCATATTTGTTTTTGGATGTTTTGCGAAACCAAAAAAAAACTATGATATACAATGTGTGTGTAAAGAAAATACTTTATTTACTAGTTAAAAAATCATTTGGTATTGATCAAGTTATTTTTTCTGGATAAGATATTATATGGATAATTGGATAGAAAATACAATTATATAATCTTGTACCTGGTTTAATTAAGCTAATTGTCATCAGAAACTTGTAATTTTTATGAATTTCAGATTTTCTTTTCATTACTGCTTTTCTTAATAGGTCAAGTTCTTATTTACGTTATAAAGTATGATATTTACAAATATCAAGTTATCATGTTTTTTGAGAAATTATGAGAAACAAACAAAAATGAAAAAGATAGGAATAGCAATGAATAGTGATGTGGGTATAGAAAATGTAAGAGATATGAATGCAAAGCAATCAGTATTTAGGACATTGACCATAGATTTCGAAAAAAAATGCTGCATATTGAGCGAAAACTATGATTATATTATAAGGCTGTCATTTAAAGCATAATGAAACTATTCCCTTTTCATTTTAATCGAATAAGATAGTAAAGATTTTTGAATTAGCTAGAAACTGATGAGATGTTTTCACAAATCAGATTTTTAATCTCTATAATGCATAATTCACTCAATATCTCAATTTTGATATTGCGAGATATTTTTGCTATCGGTTTCGCAATTTTGACACAATAGCAAGAGGGTTCTATATGCATTATTATCAACGTAGAATCTGAATATCATATCAGAAAATGTCGCAAATCTGACATTTACCCGACCAAATAGCAAAAATAATTGAATACTTTTCGCAAAAACTTTTAAAATCGATAAAATATGAAATATAGATATTAAAGAGACTTTTTATATAATATTCATAAAGATTTTCCAAAAATATGATACTGCAAAATTAAAAAAGTGACGTCTTGAGTGGAGTTAAAGGTCGAAATTGCTAGCTAAATGTTTTTTAGCGAAATTGCGTATTGTACGTTTTTTTCGCAAAACGAAACCCTTAAATAATGTCATTTCACACAAGATAAAAAAGACAAATATAGTAGTTTCGTGATGTATTAACTTAGATTCTTTTGAGATAATTTGAAATATTTAGTTTTAGATCACAAGTATTTGACATTTAAAAATAGAAGTGCAGACTAATTTACTTTTATATAAAATAACCCCTTAAAAAATCTAAATTGAATTTTTTTAGCGAAATTGCGTATTGTACGTTTTTTTCGCAAAACGAAACCCTTAGATGGAAATATGCAAATTTAAAATAATAAAGAAAGCCGCGAGCGAAGCGATCGGCTTAGTTCGAAGATTTTGATTCAAATCTTTGCTGATCTGTAATTCGCGGAAGCCGCGAGCGAATCGAGCGGCTTAGGTCTAAGATTTTGATTCAAATCTTTGCTTATATTCCTTAAATTCTTTATGAAACTCGCAACAGTTCCATAAAAAATTTTAAATTCTAAACTGTCGAAATTACCGATCGGTAATCACACCCTTCACGGGCGTGTCACTTTTAGCTAAAATTACTCCCATTTGAAATAATTTTATATATTGCATCATAATTAATCTTATCAGACTCATACATATCTCTCAATTCAATAAAGTATTAATGCATCAATATTTGAACATACTTACATATAACATTCAGACACATTGATTGAATTTGATTTTTTCATTAAAATGATTAAATCATCAAACTCGAATTACAAAATGTTGATTGATATGATTACATATGATATAGAATTTAATGCAATATAATAACCAAATGCGATCATATTGAATAATAAAAGAAATCAAACAAAGATATGGTCATACTTTACACAAAAATAAATAAACAATTCAACATTCTAGATATTTTCAACTTTTTCTTGAACAATATTGTGCAATGAAGACTTTTCGGTAACCATCGATTCAGTTTGGCCTGTAATAAAGTTTGCACTATTAGAATCAGTCTTTTGACGAGTTTCCTTTTCGTCATTTGATTCTACTTTGTTTTCTGGCGCTGGAGGCTTTTCTGTTTCATTATTTTCTTCCTTTTTATCTTGTGGCTGTTGTTTAGGCTGTTCTGGCGCTTCGTTCTTAGTTTCTGACGATTGCGAATTATGTTCTTCTGATGAATCGTCTTCGCTATGTTTTTCAGATGGCAAAACAACCATTTCTTGAGATTCATCTGGTTTATCAGTAATAATGCATACTTTATCCCCATCGTTTTTCTCAATTGTTTCAATTCTGATGTTTTCTGGCTGTTCCTTGTTAGATCGCGATGAAGAACTTGATGAAGATGATGATACGCGATTCGATGTTGAAGGAGGTGACATCACTGTTTCAGATTCAGTATCGACACGATTAGGACGTTTTCCTTGTGCTGATTCTACCTTATATATCTCTTCATCATGGAGAGCAGCAAGCTTTGTAGTTGTTTTTCTCTTCGGAAATAGTGGAATATCATCTAATACAGCAAGACCTCCAGCAGTACCTGGTCTTCTTGCATTTTCTATTAATCTGTCATGAACTGTCATGTTTTTGATAAGTTTTTCTCGATAAATTGCATTATTTCGCTTCATTAAACGTAATCTTGGAGGTACATCTGGTGTTGTCATGTCAATACCGCCTTTTGCTGTGCGTACAAAGTTCAAATGTTGCCTATACTTAAACTCTTTCTCTTTCATATCAAGAAATCTATTAGCGGCAGGCCTATCACGTACAGACATTGAACTTAAATAAATTTTTTTCCTTTATAAACGTATACAAAAAGTGAGAATTCTTCAAAAAAATCTGACAAGTTTTAATTCTATTCCTATCGTAGTTTCGATAATCGTTTTTCATTCAATAAAACATTAAATTAAACAAATACAAATATGAAGAATTAATCAATTTTTAAATTTTTTTAATGAACATAGGATTTTTTTTTTCTTACTTCTGATTTCGCTTTATTTTCATGTCTGATTCCGAAAGCAATAAGTCTGATACAGCTCCGGAAGAGACAAACAACAGCGATTCAGAAGGTCAATATTACTCTGATGCATCTGCTTCAAGTACTTCAAAATCAAATCAAAATGAAGATTCAGAGGAAAATGAAGAGCAATCATCAGATCATTACTATCAATCATATTCAGAGAAAAACTCAGATAATTCTTCAGGAGGAGAAGAGCAAAATGAGGAACAAAATGAAGAAAATGATGAAGAAGTATCCGATTCAGATGAAAGAGAATATTCAGAAGAAGAGGAAGAAACAGAAAAGAAAACATATAAACGTCGCAAATTAATGAGATCGAAGTTTTGCAAAAATTTCAGTTTTCCTCCAACAGATTACGACAAAACGATCAAGATAAAAAGCAAGTTTGATGAACACCAATCATTAATGATCGCGTCTATCGTAAATAAATGGAGAAATGGCTTATGTTCTTTATTTTATAGCGAAAATTCAAAATTTAGAAACAAAGTAATTGTAGGATCCATCATTGCTTTACACAAGAACCACAAGAACGTTCCTCCTTCCTTGATAGTTTGCTCACAAAAGGAAGCAGCGAAATTAAGTCGAATGATACACAAATATTCGAAGCTTATCATCTCAGTTAGCTCGAAAAATAAGTTCTCTCGCGATTTGTCGGACTGGGTGACCGAAGATCTTCAAAAAGCTGATGATTTCAACGTTTTTATTTGTACAAAGAAGTTTTTCAAGAAAAAACTCAAATATTTACCACACGAAGTTGCATGGTCGACGGTTGTGGTCACAAAAGTCGGCTCAAAAACGAAAGATACCAAGAAATTTTGCAAAATTTTTGAAAAAATTTCTCATTTTAGTTGCATTTTATGCTCTTCCGACCTTTCAAACATGAAGGAACAAGACATAAAGAACATATTCTCATTAATGAAGATAAAAGTACCAAGTTCTTTTACAGATCAACATATTTATATTTCATTGTCAAGTTCTTTCGTTAATTCCACGGATACTGACCTCCCAAAACTACTAGGATCGATAGAAGGTACCAAAAACCCTTCAGTCAATCCTTATTACGATGCTTCTGAAACAAATATTTTATGTCCTATGTCAGAATACGAATTTTCAGTTTATATCCATCTATTGAACAAATCCAAGGAATTACTGATCTCCGGGAAGTACGATGCCGCTGATTTACACGACATTGCGTCAGATTTACTTTCCGCATGCCACCATCCGATCATTGTTGATGGCGTTAAGGCGGGCAACTACATACTATCAATACCAACTAATAACCATTCAGCGAAGATGATTGTTTTGGCAAATTTAATCAAATCAAAAGAATACGCAGGAGAAAGGATCGTTATCATTACAGAAGACGCGGATTCATCTGTACTGGTGAAATTCGGATTGGAATCTTATGGAATTAAAACAATTGTTAAAGGAAAAATTAATAAAAAAATTCCTTGGGAAAAAATACGAGATTGGCAGCAAACAACGAACATGCCGATCGTTATAGACGAAAGCAACTACAAAGATGCTGTTACGACCATTACTCCAACTGTTTTAATTTCATATGATTCTTATTGCAGCCTTCTTATGTTCAGATCGAAGAAGAAATGGACTGGATTGAAGAGAATCAGACTCCTCACTGCATATGCCACTGATTTCGCGTTCCAATCCCAAATTCTTCAATATACAAATTTGACAATCGAAAAAATTTTGGATGAAGACACTCCAAAGTTCAGAAGATTGAATGCAATACTCAGATATTGCACTGCACATCTCCCAGACATCAAAATTTGCTCAAATGATCTGAAATCTCCTATAACTACCGAACAAATCATTCTTGAGTCGGCAAAAATGGAATATCCGAAATTGGATGGAGATTTTTCAAACAACAAAGAGTTTTGGAAGCAAATTTTCACAATTAAACCTTATTCTAAGATTTTGAAGACTCCGAAGGTACCAATGACCAAGTATAAGGGTCGTGTAGAGCTTAGAGATGATAGTTTCGGTTCAGATTCGAAGAGAAAAGAAAAATCTTCAGATGAAAGGCAAAATGACTCAGAATCAGAGACAGAACATGAGACACGTAGTAAGAAAAAGAAGGAATCCGAGCAAATTGAAGATACTTATGGCTCTAAAAACAAAGATGGCTTTTGGAACGTTCATAACGTAAAAGAAGCTGTTTTTCATGCGATGAACTTCGGAATGCGTGATTTTGATAAGGTAAACATAACCAGATATAAACGAGAAATCCAACAAATCGTCCAATTTTGTTATTACAAGCTCAGATCGACCGGAAAAGTTCCTGCCGCTTGTAAGTATATCCAAGAGCTTCCAGGCATGAAGTCAATCCCTATTTCTCCCGAAATAGTCAAAGAAGTTGAGAAAATGATCGGAAATCGACAAATGGTTTACAGTTTTGAACTGGCGTCATGTGTCAAGGACATCGTGGAGAGCAAGTTCACCATATACAAGAAGCCTTCCCAGACACCTTTACCGCCTACTTCTAATTGGTCGTACGAAGATGACATAAAATTGATAAAAACCGTTTACGATAAAGGTGTAATAAATTTCGGACGAGATTCGGAATATAAAGGCTCTTATGATATCAAGACATATATGGTTAGACTTGTTTTATTTATTTACAGAAGAATCAAAAAATCGTATTTGGGAGAAATCGGTGTCAAAGAGATGAGATCGATGTACAAAACATTAATCACCTATGGATATCCAAACCATCAGCTCTTTTTGAACGCAGTTGGAAATAATTACCTTGATTCGAAGCAATCCTTGCATTTCCTGCAGTCAATGCTCCGGTTTTGTACAGAAACAGACTTGAACAAGCGAAAGGAGATCGCAGCGGCCTTCCCAGAGCGATTTCAGAAATATCAGGTCACATTAGTCAAACAAAGGCTCTCAGACTTCGAAAGAATCCGTAATCTTTCGAAAGATATCGCTGGAACATGCGCAGAGGACTGGGAATTCTTCAGAGCTTTAGATAAGCATGGATTCTCAAATTCCTACGTATCTCCAACGCTTATAATCTGCTTGAATGACAATCTAAGCGAGATAAAGCTCAGACAGAGGCTCAAATCCGAACTTTTGGCGAATAATCATTCCGGTAAGATATTATTCGAATACAATGGCCAGAATTTGGAGCGATTGCTTCCGATCAGGCTAAGCGCGATGATTATGCTTGAAAATCTCGGAAAACTTACTGATTATTGCGATGATATTGCTTGTTTCTTCGACGGATACAGGGTAAGCGTAATCTGTCCAAGTCTTCTTTCATTTGAGAAGCTCGTCTTCGTTACTTGCAGGGTAGAGATCCGCGAAATGAAGCCGAAGTTCATTATCGAGTGTCTCGAAGATAAAAAGAGGTTCTTTTTTGAGGGGGATACACCAGATTCATGTTGGGAGATGTACAGATCCGAAATCGAGATGAAACAAGAGACGTCGTGTCCTCAATTCGATGGATACGAAATGTTTGGTTTCACAACACCAAATTACCACAAAATTGTGAATTGCGTGTTGAAAGAAGACAAATGCAAAAGCTACATAAGAAGAACATTCAAGGATTTGAACTACAAGTTCTCGCGAGAGAGAATTCAAATTGGTCATTACGCCAGTGTTGAAAAAGTTGTTGAGAAAAAGAAAATTAACCCTGGAGATGCAAAATTTGACTTTTCTTACTTAACAAGAGGAGAAGAAGAGAGTTCAATGGTTGTTCTCTCGAACCAGTCTAGCTGCTTCAATGCTCTGATTGATCTTTATTCATTTGATGATGAACTTCATGTATATTAGATTTTTTTTGTTTTTATTATTTTTATTATTAAAATATTTACTTTTTATAAGCGATCATTTTTAATTCAATTTTGATACAATCAAAAGAAAAAAATTAAGATAAAAATAAAGTGAAAATAAATACTTGAAAAATATTACTTCTACAGAAATAAATTTGCATGCACGAAATCCTTTGTTTGTTTAAAACTGGGAGGCTAAAAAGAAGAGTTATTCTGGCTTTACCATGATCACTATTGCCAACTCCATTTCCATCTATGAGTGGCATATTTTCATTTCCTGGTTTGGATAAAGCTGTTATATCTCCAAATGATGTAACACCTCCAATATAGCCAGAACCTCCACCTCCTTGGCCTCCACAACTACCTTTTATGGTGAAACCGCCAAAGAAACCTCCTCCACCACCTCCTGCAAACATCATTTCACTATACGAAGTAGCAGTCTGTCCTTGACCGCTTGAGGAATATCCAGTTGTTTGGGAAGCAGGTGTTCCTTGTACATTTTTTCCAACAGGTGGAGATGCGACTAATCCACCTCCATATGGATACGGTTGAAGATTAAAATATCCTGTATCAAATCCATTTCCTCCTGCGCCTCCAGCAACTATAATTCTATTTTTGGGATCAATTCCATTGATTCTAATATCACTTGCACCTCCCCCACCACCGCCAGTATCATCACTGCCATCACCAGAATACATTATACAGCTCCCTCCGCCATTATACCCTCCTAATGCAACTGATATTGTGGGATTCACACCATCTTGGCCTCTTCCACCAATAAAAACGGCAACATAAGTTTCCTTGTATAATGACATTGCACCAACGGAATAACCGCCTTTTCCTCTAGAAGGGCACCAAGCTCCATCATGATAGCTTCCACCACCTTGCGCACCCCAAACTTCAAGTTTATAAAGTCCAGGCGATAAAACTGCATTATAAAAAGTGCAATCATTATTAGAATCGCAAGGATACTGAAAAACAGTTGTATTTCCAACTGTTGTTGCTTTATTAGTGCCCTTATTTGTATTATTTAATACCCATTGATTCATGATATGTTATTATATTTAAAATTCACAGGTATTGGGTATTTAGTTCCAGTTCCCCGGACGATTATTTTCAATTCAATTCTGATGCATAAAAAACACTTTAAAATATATTAATTAAGCATTGGATTGCATCATAGTTAATTCTGTTCACTTGGTTTTATGATTAATCAAATATTTTTTCTGAAATCGAAATTTTATATGAATTTTAGTCATTTTCAGTTTTATTGTAATAAACAGAAATTCATCAAAAGTGACAGCTCTCAATTTTTTGACATTTGTAAATTCTAAATTGAATGAGAAAAACGAAATAATACTAAGCATAATACAATATTCTAGATTTAATTATAATTAGGAAAAAGTTAGTTTTGAGAGTACTTTTCATAGGCATATAGAATGAAATCTTCTGAAAAATAATATCACATAAACTCATATTATTTTCTAATATATAACTATTTTATATAAAAATCAAATTCAATGATCTTAAAAGCGAAGGATAAACCTCAAAATTTACGAATATAATGAGTAATATAATGCTTATCTTCATAAAAACCATATGAAATATCAATTTTTGCTTTACGCCTAATTTTTGACGACAATTAGCAAAAAATGTTAAATGTTAACACTCAGTCCATTTGAATATGAAAAATAAAATTGACTTTGATTAAATGTTTTTATTTATCATGCAATTCTTCTTGCGACCAAAGATTTGAATAAAAGTTCAAAAAATAAGATAGCTTAAAAAATAATACACGGTAGTGTTTACTAATAGATGAATAGTATATAAATTCTATTAAAATGGATTTGATCCAAAAAAATATATAAAATTTGATCATAAATAAAATCGTTTTAAATTACTTCTTCATTTAAATTATAACAATTATTTTTGGTTTTATATTTTTTTGGATCAAATCCATTTTAATAGAATTTATATACTATTCATCTATTAGTAAACACTACCGTATATTATTTTTTAAGCTATCTTTTTTTTTGAACTTTTATTCAAATCTTTGGTCGCAAGAAGAATTGCATGATAAATAAAAACATTTAATCAAAGTCAATTTTATTTTTCATATTCAAATGGACTGAGTGTTAACATTTAACATTTTTTGCTAATTGTCGTCAAAAATTAGGCGTAAAGCAAAAATTGATATTTCATATGGTTTTATGATAGATAAGCATTATATTCCCACTCATTATATTCGTAAATTTTGAGGTTTATCCTTCGCTTTTAAGATCATTGAATTTGATTTTTATATAAAATAGTTATATATTAGAAAATAATATGAGTTTATGTGATATTATTTTTCAGAAGATTTTGTGTTCTTCTTCAAAATTTTATTTTTTATTAAAAAGAATCTTTACAAAATATACATTTACTTTAATTAATATTTAAAAACGTGCTCTATCAAAAGTTCCAAAAATTCAATATTTTAGCTTTTCTGAGGTGTCACTTTTGATGAATTTCTGTTAACAACATTATTATAAAAATTCAAATATCCTAAATATATCCATACTATTTCCGAAATAAAATTGAAATATTTTCTAAAATGTCACTTTTTGTCCGATCGCGTTTTTCGAAATTGTCAAAAATTCGATGTTGAAGAAAAGTTTCTTTTTAAAACGTGAAATCAAAGGACTTTTCATAGAACATCCAATCAAAAATATTGCAATACATGATAATATCTTCTTTTATTACGATGTTGATGGCTATATCAAAATATTTGATGCAATTAAAGACGTAAACGATACATTCAACAAACCATTTACAATAACTTCTTTTCCCATTGATATTGCGTTAAATGGAGCTCATACATTTGGTGCAGTTTCATTTAATGGTGGAAGTATTGTAATATTTGATTTAATTGAACGCAAAATTTGGAAAACATTAAACAGGGTTACCGGAAAATCATTAAATCACATACTCTTCCTCAAAGATGACTGCATTATCGCTGTAGATGAAGCAAAAAAATTAATAAAATTCGTAATGAAAAACAGTTTCATTGGAGCATCAGTTGAAGAAATTAAGATATGCAGTTTCGCAACTACTCCTCTGCATTTTATCATTCCTCCAATTTTTAAATCTTCCGAAAATTACTCTGGCTTGGCCACACAGTCTTCGTGCTTATCCAGCAAATACTATGGAACTGTAGGAATCTCATTTCCTTCAAAATTCATTCTCGCGCAAGTTCTAAACGATTTTTCAATTATTGTCGAGTTACCCTTCGAAAACTCGATTCCTGCCTTATACCTTACTGATTCTGAGACATTATATGTTGCATTGGGTACACAGGATCAAGTCGTTATCTATAAAATCTGCGCAATTAACTCAATTAAACCAGAATTCATTTGTTTTGAGTCAATTCAACAGAAACCGATTTACATGAGTTTCTTATCGCAATCTATACTTGTTGCTGTCTATTCTGACCTTACTTGCACCGTATTTATGTTTAATCAAAACAGAAGATTCGAATCTTTTATCGACGTCAAAGGAAAACTCGTTACAACATCCGAAAACATAGGTGTCGTAGCTGATGACGCAATTTGGACCTTGTATTTCCATACTTTTTCTGATAAAATGGACCAATTAAGGTTAATGCACGATATTCGTGGCGCTTTAGCACTTTGCAGGCTTGCAACAATCGGAGATGAAACAGCAGGCATTGATTTACCATCAGGAACCGAAATGCGGAGTTTAATTATCGAAAAAGAATTATCTCCTCTCTTGGATGAGGACATTCGCAACAAATTAAAGGAGAATAAGGACAAGGCTGATGAATTGATCACGTATTTGATCGATTTGTCCAGAGAATTGAACATGAATGAATATATGATTAATTATGCGATGAAAATCTTCGAAGAATATGGTCTAATGGAGTTGTTTGTTACAAAGATTGTTGAAAATGATCCGAAACAACAATTTTTCTTTGTTAATGAAAAATTTTTTGATTATGTCATAAAATTTTCCAAAAACATCGCAAATGTTGATGATTTCATACTTAGTTTACCCTCAAAATTTGCAAATCCAAACAAAATTTTGGAATATTCTTATGAAAATAACAAACCTTGGCTTTCTGCAAGAATTTACGCCTACAAACTCAATGACTACTTATCAGCAATCAAAACTTTGAGTTCCATTGATGATTTCGAGACAATTTCAAAAATTTTATTATCAATTTCAAAAATTTCGATTTCTCAGATGTCAGAAATCATTTCATGGCTTTGCTCATCATCAAAGGAAAACAGATTTCCATTCTTGTTCAAACTAATAACAAAAGGAAAAGAAGTTGACGAAATTTTAAGAAATTTGTCACTTTTTGTGTCAGAAAACAACATTCCCTTTGATATTTCTACATTTTTAACAGCAATATTATATGTATTAAGTTGTTTGAACGTGAAATCGACTGACAGATTATGGAAAGTCTCAGAAGAAATCATATCGAAAAATATTGTGAAAATTCCAACTTTTCTTTTAGATTTTGTTTTGCGAAACATATTCACGAAAGAGTATGTTGAACCAGACATGAGAGAAGTAACACTCATGAGCATCTTGACAATGGATTTATCTGCAAAATTCAAAATGAATTTGTTACCTTTAATTTTGAGTTTTCACTTCAAAAATGCAAAACAATTTATTTTGTTAAATTGCGGGGATTACGATGTAATTTTAAAGAACTATATAATGGAAAGAGAATCTCCAATGCCGTATTTGTTGAAGCAGTCAAGATTTAAAGACCAAGAAAATGAAAATCTTTTATTGGCAATTGCAAAAAATTCTTTGGGAATTTTGGAAATTGACAAACAAAATTTTGTCACTTTTTTGCTGGAAAATTACCAAAATTCTTTAGATTTTATTTTGGAAAATATCGATGGTTTTCATGCCCAAGGATGTTTAATACATGAATTACTTAAAAAAGATAAAAAATTGAAGTTTACAAAAATGGTTATTGTAAACTATTCAATTTACTTAAATTATTATTATCCTAATGAAATCAAGGAAATAATAGAAAACTACAGTGATGTTGACTTTAGTTTATTAGTCAATCATTTAGTTAAACAAAGGAATTTCGAATTAGCAATTAAAATCTGTTCAAATCAAGAAATCAAAAGAAAATTAATTGTTACTTTTATAAGGGAAGAATTGTATCAAATGAAATTATCTTCTTTGATGATAGCTATACATGAATACAAGGATGAATTGGACTTCGCTTCAAGCAGAGCTGTAATTAGATCCCTTTCAATTCCTTTGATGAATTTGGCTGAAAATAAAAATGAAAAACAGTTGTCACTTTTATCGAATGTAATTGAATTTACACATAACAGTTTACAGGATAATTTCTCTGTTCCTAACTTTATTTTTGTTGTTGAGAAGTCGTTGAATGAATCTAAATACTACGACATGAGAAAAGAACTTGCAATTTACATGTCTGGAATAGAAAGAGATATTGATTGTAATTCTGAATTAGTTTCGAAACACAAAGAACTCTGTACAACATTTATTAATGTTGAATTTAACACTAATGATGAAATTAGTGAAGAAGAAAGAATTTCTAAAGAAAATTCTGAAAAAGAAAGGAAACAAAAAGAAGAACAAGAAAAAGAAAGAATTCGAAAGGAACAAGAAGAAAAAGAACGTTTAGAGAGAGAAAAGAAATTAGAAGAAGAACGAATTGCTAAAGAAAAGAAAGAAGAGGAGGAAAGATTGGCCAAGGCTGAAAAAGAACGTTTAGAAAAAGAAAGAAAAGCAGAAGAAGAAAGGAAACAAAAAGAGATGGAAGAACAGCAAAGACTTGAACAAGAAAGAAAAGAAAAAGAAGAACAAGAAAAAGAAAGAATTCGTAAAGAACAAGAAGAAAAAGAACGTTTGGAAAAAGAAAAGAAGTTAGAAGAAGAAAGACTTCTTAAAGAAAAAGAAGAACAAGAGAGAATTGAACGAGAAAAGAAACAGAAAGAGCTGGAAGAACAGCAACGTTTGGAAAAAGAAAGAAAATTAGAAGAAGAAAGAATTGCTAAAGAAAAAGCCGAAAAAGAGAGAATAGAAAAAGAAGAACAAGAAAAACTTGAGAGAGAAAGAAAAGCAGAAGAAGAAAGGATACAAAAAGAAAAAGAGGAGGAATTAGAAAAAGAAAGAATTCGTCAAGAAAAAGAGAGAATTGAAAGAGAAAAGAAAGAAGAAGAGGAAAGATTAGCTAAAGAAAAGAAGGAAAGAGAGGAGCAAGAAAGAAAACAGAAAGAACTTGAAGAGCAGCAGAGATTAGAAAGAGAAAGAAAAGCAGAAGAAGAACGAAAGAGAAAAGAACAAGAAGAAAAAGAGAGAATTGAAAGAGAAAAGAAATTAGAAGAAGAAAGACTTCGTAAAGAAAAAGAAGAACAAGAAAGAAAAGAAAAAGAACGTCTTGAAAAACTTAAGAAAGAAGAGGAAGAAAGAATTGCAAGAGAAAAGAAAGCTGAAGAAGAAAGAAAACGTAAAGAGTTGGAAGAGCAACAACGTTTAGAAAAAGAAAAGAAAGAAGAAGAGGAAAGAATTGCTAAAGAAAAAGCAGAGAAAGAACGTTTAGAAAGAGAAAGAAAAGCAGAAGAAGAAAGGAAACAAAAGGAGCTGGAAGAACAGCAGAGACTAGAAAGAGAAAGAAAAGAAAAAGAAGAACAAGAAAAAGAAAGAATTCGAAAGGAACAAGAAGAAAAAGAACGTTTAGAGAGAGAAAAGAAATTAGAAGAAGAAAGACTTCTTAAAGAAAAAGAAGAACAAGAGAGAAAAGCTGAAGAAGAAAGAAAAGAAAAAGAACGTCTTGAAAAGCTTAAGAAAGAAGAGGAAGAACGAATTGCAAGAGAAAAGAAAGCTGAAGAAGAAAAGAAACAAAAAGAACTGGAAGAACAGCAACGTTTGGAAAAAGAAAGAAAAGCAGAAGAAGAACGAAAGAGAAAAGAACAAGAAGAAAAAGAGAGAAGAGAAAAGGAAGAACAAGAAAAACTTGAGAGAGAAAAGAAATTAGAAGAAGAAAGGATACAAAAAGAAAAAGAAGAAAAAGAAAGAAAACAAAAAGAGGAAGAAGAAGAGAAAAACAGTAAAGAAAAAGAAGTAAGTTCTGAATATGAAGATTCAGAATCATCTGTTTCTCTGCCAGTTGCAGTTAAGAGCAGAGAAATTGAAGTAGAAGATGATGATGAAGCTGCTCTTCTCGATGATCCAGGAATGGAAGATGATGGAAATGAAGAAGGATACGAAGAAAATTCTGATTTTTATGATGATGATGACGATGATGACGAAGGACTTTCTGTTCTCACAAAAGTTGTTGAAGAACCACCTCCACAAACTAAAAAGGCTGCAAAAGAATACTCCTCTGATGAATATACATCAAGTTATACTGCATCAGAGTCGGAGTACTCATCTAGTTATACTGACTAATGTAAAAATTTTATTATTTATTAACAATACAAATATTAGCTTGATTTTGTTTACTCAACTTTGAATTATTCTTAAAATTTGGCAGATCTTGTATTGAATTAGTCTCAAAATTCTGATTAGAAGCGAATTGACTGTTTTTTATCATTGCATTGGCTTTTTGAAACGAATAAGTCAATGTTATCATTATATCAAGAAAAATGAAATTCAGAATCTTTTGAAATTACAACCAAAACTGATTTTAGTGTTAGCAAAAGTTAGCCACAATATAGGGACTAAATGAAGTTTAATTCTATACATAATAAAATTTTTATTTATAATAATTATTAATCTGAGCCATAAACGCGGCCCGATTTCTTAACACAAATAATAACAACGACAATGATAATAACAAGAACAAAAACAGATGCAACAACAATGACAGCAATAGCCCATACAGGAAAGTTCTTATTTTTCTTCTCTATATTTTTCGTGTCTTCTTTGACTTGATCTGCTGTTTTAACAGCATCTTGACCAAGAAGAACAACTTCTAGATCATTTTCAAAGAGCATTCTCTCTGATCCTGATGGTCGATCTCCTATCTTCTCAAACTCCACTACAGCGTCACCTTCAATGGATAACTTAGCCTTTCCACTTTTATAATATTCTTCATTAAATTTGTTATAATCAGCATCAGATATCGAAAAATGTGATTCTGTAGAAAATACCGTTGCATTAGATAAAGTATCATATCCTTCTGTTTTAACTTCAAGATAAATTTTATTATTTTTAGATGGATTAATATTCTTATATACAAAAACTTCATTGTTGTATGTTACTATAGTTTTATCATTATCATCTTCTTTCTTGTATGACAGATTATATTTTACTTTTTTAGAAAATGATCCTGATGCCTTTGTTGAAAAATAACTTAAATATCTTAAATCAAGTATATTAATAAATTCATCTTTTGGTTCTTCGAAATAACCAACTTCTGATGGATAAACCGAAGCAATTTGAAGTTTGCATCCATCTGATTTGTCAAGGCATTTGATTTTTGAATAGACATTGCTTGTTGTAGTTTCATTAAATGTAACTGCAAGTGGATTGTTGACTGAGATCAGACCATTAAAATTTTTAGTTTGTATATTCTTGAACTTAGCTTCAACTGAAAAATCGGTTTTATTACTTGCAATAAAATAAGCACCTGAGGTACAAAATTCTTGATTAGGTTTCAAATTGATATAACCACTGAACTAACTGACGAATTCGCAATCAGGAAAAGCAGGATTTTCAGATTCTTCATGTGCGATTCTATTTACAGCTAGAGTTTGGCGATTGAGATTTGAGTCGTAAATTTGTTACTCTGAATAAATTAAGTTTCAACAGCACCAATGGGCAGGCATGTATTGATGTTATCAAGAATATTTCATCATTTCCAAAACAACTTGCAACGTTTTGATTTAATCATTTCATTCATCTTTCAGTTTCATTTCATAAAAGCTTCATGTTATAATAGAGCAGATGAATAATAGCAAATGCACAAGAACATTTTTCTCTGATTTTTAAATCATTGTCAAAATAATTTTTGTATCAAATTGATTTCGCCGAATTTAAGTTAAAATGCGGATTTCAAATTTGAGATCGTTTGCTAAATTATCTTTCTACTTTAAAACTCAACATTTACTTGTTTTTACATCAATATTTGTGAAATTAGCTGAAATCTCGAAAAATAAAAAATTACTCAAGTTCATCATCTTATAAAAATTAATAAAAATAATATATTTTTATAGTTAGAAAATTAAACTAAAACTACTTCTGAAACTTCAGTTTCATATTTTTTGGATCTTCTCTTTTTGATTAAAATAAAAGCAACTGCAGCAGCAATAATCAATAATATAACTATTACGGCTACAAATATACAAATTATTACCTTAGTATGTCCTTTGTTATCTTTTCTCTCAGAATTTTCATCAGAAATATAGTTGGATTTATAGTATTTGATGTGTTATCAGAAGGTGAAGGATATGGAGTTCTAGAAGGAGGTGGAATGTCACTAACATTCACTTTTGTGGGACCTATAATATAGATAGGATCCCATGTCAATGTGAGTGAAGAACCATAGTTTAAATTCAATGAATCTCCAACTAAATCAAATGAATCATGTATCTCACCTTCAAAATAGATGTACTTTGGTAGTTCATCAAATGACCACAAACACCAACCATCCAATCCATCATTTCGCTTCCAATGGAAAATACCCCACTCTTCATTCTGAGAGAAATTGAGATCACTATCCATGACAGAAGTTGGAGGCATCGCTCTTACCATTGCCTTATGTGCTAAAAATGCTTTCTTTGGTATCTGTCCAGGTTCTACTATTCCGGAAAAGTGTTCTGGATTCAGATTTGATTTCTTATCAGATTCAATTGCTATATTTTGGAATTCGTACCAGAAAACTTTCTCAACACCAGCATGATAAGATAAGAAGTGCTGCATTGGAACTGATCGAGCCTGTTCATTTGTACTATCATAGTTGTGAGTATTTGGATGTACATGTGTTGTTGAAATTACAATGTTTCCTTTATATTTAGAATGTGGACGAATAATTGCTGCACCTGATTTTTCATTTTCATTAACGCCAACGATTTGAATAAATTCATCTCCTTCAGCCTGATTACAAGGAATAATGAAGCGATCAATCCAATTTTGTCCAGATCCTGTATAATACCCATTTGAAGGATAATAATCATTCATCCTTCCATTTGTTTGGTATCGAGAAAGATCAGCTGGTCTCGGATGATATTTTCCATTCCAATCTGGTTCAATACAGAATTTCCATTCTTTAGAATAGTTCTCAGCTAGCCATTTGCTTGGGTATTCGCATTTCTTCTTTGTTTCATTCCATTACCATGTATAATAGAATGAATATCCTTCATTCACATATATTGTGCCTCCATTTTTAACATATTCGAAAACATCATCATATATGTTCAAAGGGAACATTTCTCCAAATGGTAAGAAAAGGATAGGATATTCTTCAACTTTAATGTTTTTAATTGTCTTAAGATTGAATTGTTTGACTTTCTTTCCAAAAACTGCTGATAATGTTGAAGGAATTACATTATAAGGATGATTCATTCCAAATTCATCTGAGCTGAATTTTGCATCAAAAAACATTGCAATGTTTGGAATCTTACCATCAAAGAGGATGTTTGAACTAACATTCAAGATCCATTTGTAATAATCATACCAAGCAATGTATGGTGTTGACATTCCCATCTCAGTAATCCATAGAGGAACATCTTTACCATATTTTTCTTTGATATGCCTTGGCCATCCTTCAAGCATATTCTTAAGTCTTCTCATTTGTCCAAAATTAATGAATTGATCTGTATAAGGGTGAAGCGCCATTATGTCAAAAGAGTTGACAGCTCCAGGGACTTTCATTGTTTCATCAAACCAGTTCATATTTGCTAAACCAATTCCTGCATGAATTAATTTGACTGAACTATTAATTGAATTAAGAACTTCTTTTGCTTTAACCATCTTCTTCATAAACCAAGATCCATCTGGATTGAAATCAGGTTCGTTTTCAAATTCAATATAGCCATGATCTTGATATTTTGTAAAAAATTTCCTTGCGAAATTTTCAAACTTTTGCATTTTGATATTTTCATCTAGATTCTTAAACCACCATGGTTCAGAAATAAAAATTGGGAGAACATGCTGATTATTTGGTTTGAACGCATTATCAATGATATCATATGTTCCAAAATCAACTTACCCTTCATTTGGCTCCATATATGCCCATGCATAATCTGTTCGGACCCAATCTGCTCCTGCTGATCGAATATAATCAACTTCAGAAAAGTTCCATTGATTATCTTGTGTTCTTAATTCATCTTGATGGAAGCACATTCCATATTGAGATTGATAACTTTCCTTTGTTGAACTAGAAAACGCAAATAAGCTCTGAAATAGCATTAAAGAAAAATGACCCGATATTTGAAATATTGTGAATTCAAATTCTGACTGACAAAAGAATAAATTTATTTAAAATATGTCAGTAAGCATTTCAACAATGGATGAATTGAATCAAGAACTTTTTCAATAAATTTTTCAATGAGAAATATTGATCAGATTCTTATCATACTAAAACAAATGCATTATAAAATACATTAGTATGCATTTATTCCAAAAGATACATGAATCTGATTATTCCATTCAATAAAATTGATAAGTTAAGAACTGTCAGACATTTTTTTGAGAGGTGATTCAAAATACGCTCCTTTTAAATTTTAAATTTCATATAACTCGCAGTCTAAATGATCTAAGGTAGTACTCTTGATTAATTTATCCATGTAGAACGGGAGAAGCTCTGGTGAGGAGCATTACCTTCGTTATCGAAGAAACTTCATATGGGCAACATTTAGTACTTCACTGGTCTCCTGATTCCAAGAGATGTTTCTGAAATTTATTGAGATATATTAGTTGAATTTTGAAATCTTGAATATTTACTAAGCATTTATAGTGAATTTATATTATATTTCATCAACAGATATTAATTGCTACCGCAATATATCATATTTCAGAATTTTTTTTGTAATTTTAATTTAAAGAAATTTCTATTTGATAATATGAATGAAAATATATTATTTTTTATCTAATATATTAATAATCAATCTTAGATCATCAATAAAATAGCACTTACTCATTATTGATTAAATTATCATTTTTTTCATTGATTCCCAATAAATCAAGATTAGCACAAGGAAAATTGTTAACACACTGTTATGTGTATTACTTTCAATTATACCATTCATTAATTTACAAAAACAAGTATTAGTTTGCCAATACTTAATTAATTAAGGCTTCAGTAACAAGGGAAAATTTTTCGAGTCTTTAACTAAAAATGTTCTTTTTTTATTTTGAAAAGATATAAATATGAAGATGAAATTTCAACATGTTGGATATGCTTACAAGAATTCGATAAACCACAATCATCTTTGAATGCAATTGAAGGAATCTTACCTTGCTCAATAATGATCTTCTGAGCATTTGATGGAGCTGAGAAAGATCCGCACTTGCGAAGAAGATTGCAGCCATCAAAAGCCTGGTCTCCGATTGTTTTGATGCTTGATGATGAGAAGAAGACGAGATTGAGGTTTTTGCAGTCTTTGAATGCTTGGTAGTCTATCGTCTGGATATTTTTGCCATTGAAGAAAACTCTGACAAGTGATGGGCTGCCCATGAAAGCGCATTGACTAATTGTTTTCATTGTCATCGGAACAATGAAGTTCTTGACTCCACTGTAAGGAAGGAAGACAATAAGATTGGTTTGATCGTAATCTGTGAGTGCGCCATTCTCAAAACGATATTTGTTATCCATTGTAGGTAATATGATTTCCGTGAGACTGAAGCATTCGTAGAAGCAGCCACCATCAACTCTCGATAGAATGCAATTGCCACCCATGTAGACGGTGGAAAGAGAAATGCATGACTGGAATGCAAAACCCTGAATGCTTGTGAGAGTATTTGGAATGGTGAAACCCTGGAGAGATGTGCAACCATCAAATGCATATGGACCAATCACTGAGACTCCGATCTTCAGGTTCAGTTTTTCCAGAGATACGCAGTACTGACAAAGCTGCTGAGGAATAAAAGAGCTAATTGTTAGTTCTTTAATTGATGAACCCATAAAAGACTTAACGTCAACTGTGCAGCCACTGTGTGCCAGATTTGCTGAACTGAGACCGCTGTAGTAGAATGCATAAGCACCAACAGAAATCAGATTGGTCATGCCAGAGATGCCAATATCTCTAATGAGTGGACAGTACGCGAAAGCATACTCCCCAATTCTCTCAATTGATGAAGGAAGGGTGATGTGTTCAAGATTTTGACAGTTATTAAAACAGTAGTTTGGAATGTATTTAATCTTGTTTCCTTTGAATGTAACATTCTTCAGAGATCCGCAACTATCGAATGCATTTTTCCCAATAGAGACTAATCCTGGGGAAAAAATAATGGATCTAATAGTAGAAAAGCGAAAGGCCTGATATCCAATAGATATGTTGTTTTCAGAATCTTCGCTCTGGAAAGTAACGTCACGAAGTTTTTTCTTATAAAATGTGAGATCACCAATACTTTTGCAGTCACTTATAATCGAAATATCATTGTCAGTATTTGATCCTGTGTATAAAATCAATGTCTCTTTATTGTCTTTATATGTGAGGAAAGTTTCTGAATAAAATGATGAACTCAAAGAAGTTATGTTAATTTCACCCGTATTACTGAAGGCTCCATCACCAAGCTCTGTCAATGTTTTAGGAAGTGTTATTGATTTAAGCGAATAACATCCTGATAAAGCTCCAGGACCTATTGATGTCAAATTTTGAGGAATGTTGATTTTTTTAAGATTTCCACAATCAGCAAACATATAGCCAGGAATTTTTTTGATATTTTCGCTTAATGTTACTGAAGCTAATTTAACACAACCTGAGAACACACGTGTTCCAATTGATGTAATTTGATCTGTGAATGTAAATTCTGTTATTTGAGAGCCACAAAAGCACCAATCTTCAATAGTTGTCACATTTGATGTTAAAATAATTTTATTTATATTGCCACCTCTGAAAGCAGAATTACCAATCTTTTTGATGAAAGTTGGAACTTGATATGTTCCAGTAAGCGCCGAACTTACATAAAATAAAGTTGAAGAATCCGATCCAGAAAAAATAGAAGTTCCATCAGTTGTATAATACGGATTTCTGCGATCAATACTAATACTAATAATTGGACAACCTTGGAGGCAAGATCCATCTACCATTTTTAATTTCGAAGGTATCGTAAAATATTTTAATTTAGAACCTGCAAATGCGTCTGTTCCTATATTAGTTAAATTAGAGTTTTGGCCAATTGAAACTTCTGTAATTCCTGAAGATTGGAATTCATTGTAATCAGTGCTAACCCATCCAGGAATAATTTCAAGAGAATCAGGAAAATCTATCCTTTGTAATGAATAAGTGCAAAAGAAACAGCCTGCACCAAGAGCTTTGATACAAGGTGGCATTATTATTGTTTTTAATTTTTGACAGTTAGAAAATGCTTTATTGTTTAATTTTAATAATTTTGTGCACTCGCCCATATCCACTGTAACTAATGCTGATTCTGAAAAACAGCCATAACAAAGAGATTCTAACAAACTCCCTTTGCCAAATATAATAGACGTAATCGTATTTCTGCATAAGTAGAATGGACTTAGTTCAACCCTTGTACCTCCTTGAATCGTTGTACACTCAGAGAGAATTGTGTATTCTCCGCTGAGTTCTTTTGGAGCAGATTTAAGAATTGTCTTATCATCTGAGTATGTAACACCTCTTTTATCACTAAATGCAAGAAAAAATAAGAAGATATTACTCAGATAATAAAGTAATCAATCAAATTGAAAAAACTAACCTTAAAACAGTATCCAAATCAATACATCTAAATTTACTGCAAAAAAATTGAGAGTGAAGTATCATTCTTTATGAATAGCAGAAACACTATCCATCATTAGATCACCTAGGAAACAAAGTTTTCCACTCTAAAAATATTTGATAATCAAAATTTGATAAAAATCAGGTTTTTTACCTTGGGGTATGTTTCCCAGCACTTTTGCACCAGAACCACTATAAAGAACTCTCTAAATAAAGTTGACACATATCTATTGAAAGACATTGAATTTAGTTTTGAGAAGACATTTCTCTGAAATTTTGAAATGAATAGAAATTTAAAAGCGCAAACAAATATGTATTTTTAAAATATTGGTATAGATCAATATGAAAATTTTTGAAATTTTGAATAGGAAATTTAATTTAAGCTTTAACATATGTATTTAAATAGTAAACATGACAGATAACAAATTGGATTAATGAAATGTGAAATTTATCCAATAAAATGTTTTGAATGAATAAAGTTGCATTATATGCCAGAACACTAATATACATGAATTATACAACATGCTTAATAAGTGATCTATATAAGCATAATGACTTTAAACGAAATAATCATATCAAAATTTGAATCTGATAGACAACATGAGTGTTGTATGCTTAAATTAGGCGTTTATACTAATGTTATAATGAAAGCAATTTGCAATTTTGGCAATTCCGACATCCTTACATTACATTAGCACCGAATGGTATTGTTATCACACAATTCCAGTAAGAATCACAGATTATTTTATGCTAGTATACATACAGGCTTCTTTAGAAAACTTACAATTATGAATTTTGAGATTGTATATTAAAACAATATTTGACTTTCCAAAATGCTGAGTAAGCTCCATATCTCACTGATTGCTAACAACTTGAAGCTATCTATATAATGTAAAAGATTAAAGTTTTATAACAAATGCATAGAGAACTTTTAATTTGTGTGGTGATACCTTTTCCATAATGATACAATATACAATGCATTGTAGACACAAAAATTAGATTGTAAATTATTATCATTGTGTTTTGATCTCTTCAAAAGCTTTAATACTCAGAGTGTTACAGAATGATTTACAATCCTTCATATTACTGATTTTACCGGTAAATTATAATTATTCCAAATGAATCAATTCTACTTGCCTTAAATATGAACTCCTTGTGAACTTATAATTAAAAATACTGTAAATAAATTCGAAGAAACAACCCCTCGATAACAGATAGCGAGTGATGTTAAAATGCATTTAAGAAATATGTTATCTAGGGATTACCCATAACACAATATATTCTACATGGAACTGTAATGCATTTTCGTACACATACACGTTATCAAAACCTCTATAACAAGATCTAAAGTACTCACAAAATCTAGATTGAGAGGCGGTCAATGACTTTTGAGGGGAAATTAACGCATGGAATTTAATATTATTTAAGTTGATATTCTTGCTTATTATTTCAGAAAAAAATCTTAAAAATTTCAATATGAAAATTGAAAGCAATTCAAAAAAATTGCTAACATGTAAATTTTAATATCCTATGCATAATTTCATATTTTGAACATTTTTTATTTTTGTTTAAAACTTAAAATTTTGCGAATTTAATATAATTTATAAAATATAATACGTATATATATTTAAAATACACTAAATTTAATTGTTAATTGACGTTTTTGGGAATGAATTTTATCAAAACATGCCTGAATCCGAAAATTTGAAAGAACAAATTACACAATCATATCTGTAGAATTCAAAATACAAACTTAAAGATTGTATACGTTTAAAATTATTCAGATTGTGTTTGATTTCCACTCATTCTGTTTCTTTTGAACTCTAACACTAACATTTCATGATGATTACATGATCCATTTATACATGGTTGAATTGTTCCAGATTCTACCAGAAAATCAATCCAAATTTCTCAATGCATTCATGTTGATTGGACAAAATTTAAAATTTATCAGCCTGTTTCCAGAGAAACTCATATATTCCCTAATGAAATGTAATTTTTGCTACATTTATTTCAATCAAATTTCAAAAAATTGACTGCAGAGCTTGAAAAGGTGATGAATCATGTTGTTATTAGATGTACATATTAGATTTACTATTTCCAAAAAAATGCTCAAATTTGAATAGTTTTTAGAAAATTTGGAATTACACTCCTTACATTATATATAATTAAATGTTTAAATTTTATTTATTTTTCCCTTTTAATTTTATAACGTGCTGTATCAAAACTAACCTCTCAATTGAAGGCCACAAAATCTAAGTAGTGAGGGTACACAAATTTTGTATGGAGTACGGTTCAATTTTTGAGAGCCTCACTACTTAGATTTTGTGACTACCTGATCTAGAATTTCTCTGTTCACTTTTATCATGATAAATTTTGGAATTAAGAGCATGCATATCACTGATCAAATATAAATCAAAATCGAATGGTGTTAGTCTCAAATTCTAATTTCAAAGAAAAAACTTCCCTCGATTCCGATAAATTTTAGAAAAACATTGTTACAATTATAATTATATTCCATTTCTGAAAAAATAAATTGAAAATGAGGACGTAAAAAGATTTTCTGATGAGGAACTTAAAACTTTTATAAAAATCATGCTCTCATTGTGTTTGGTAACATTTTCTTATTTGAGGAAGAACGTGGGTATTCAAATTTAGAAGTTCTAAAAAGAAAAAAAATTATTTTTTTGAATAAATGACGAAATTTTCGAGGCAAACCTTACCTGAGCAGTTTTTGCAAGCGGAAAGTTTTGTAAATCTGGTCTGGGAGATCTGTGAAGAAAATTTCGAGCATTGCTGCAACGCAATCAAAGAAACGATTAATAATAATCTATTTTCTAAATCGACAACTATAGACATACTATGTGCAATATCAATATTCAGACCGCGTAAAACCCGAATTTTATACAAATGTATCCTTACTTTAGCTGATAATTTTGATATTGACCAAGTATTTTTTCGTTCAACAGCTCTCAAGTCGGCTTTAGCAGATACAACGCACAACAACAAATCATACGCGTACATCGATGCAGAATTAGATGACATTTTAAACATTTACAAGAAAAACGAAATTGGCTACTGTTTACTGAATGATGACCTCGAAAACTTTCAAAAACTTACACTGAACCAATCATTCGACATAAATACTAGAATGGCTCTTTGCAATGAACCTCAATCAAAAGAAACAACTTATCTCAACGTTGCTGCTAGATATGGAGCCATAAATTGTTTTAAGTATCTCAATTTAAATGGTCTTATGCCTGATTCAGATAGTTTTAACCTTGCAATTCTCGGAGGAAATTTTGAAATCATCAAAATTCTTTCTTCAACAGCAAATATCACTAATGTAAGCTTACAAAAGGCCGTTACAAGTCATAGAAATGAAATTGCGCACTGGCTTATTGAAAATTACGAATTAAAATGTTCATGGGAGTCAATGTTACGAAACTACAATTTTACGTTCTTCATTGACTCATTATGTTCATGTCCGACCTTAGATACCTTTGATTACCAGAACGATACCCCTCTAATTGCTTCCTGTCGAATTGATATTTTATGGCTTTCCAAATTCTTGATGGAGCATACGAAAGACATCAACCATTACAACAACCAGAAGGTAAACGCTATATTATGCGCGTCAATGGGCAAAAACGAAGAATTAATAAATATTTTATTAGATAAAGGTGCAGATATCAATAGCCACAATGCGAAAGACGCAACACCATTGATGGTAGCTTACTCTAATAACAGAAGAGAGATCGCACAGTTGTTAATTAAAAAAGGTGGAAAAACTAATGGAGAAAGTAACGATTTGTTCTGCGCAATCGAACATAATGATTACTGGACAGTTGATATGTTACTTAAACAAGGTGCTGATGTAAACCAAACATTTAGAATTGAAAAAGTGACGCCTTTATTCCATGCTGTCTATCATAGATTGGATGAGTTGGTTAGTTTGATACTACAATACAAGCCGAATGTGAATCAGAGGGTTGGATATGGTCAAATGACTGCTTTGATGGAAGCTTGTAAAAATGGTTCCGAAATCATTGTTAGAAAGCTTCTGGAAACTGGCGCTGATGTTAATATGATGGATGAGAATTGTCATGATGCATTGTATTATGCAAATTTGTCGAATTCCAGCGAAATTATTAAAATGATAGAAGAAAAGTTAGAAAAACCAGATGAAAATATAGAGAATTAATGTTATTATAGAATTTTTTATGTGTTTATTTTGTTTTTTTATAAATTTTGTCTATGAAATTTTTATTACAAAAATTTTTTATATGAAACATTTGACCATTATGTTTTCCATGAATTGTTTGAAATATAATGATCTGTTCCTTTCGAATTCAAAACTTTATAACAATAATTTCATATCTTAAAATATTGAAGTTATTATAAATGCATTCATATAAATATCAACACTATCATTTTGATCTTACACAGGCTATGTATAGACTTACAAAATGCACAATATACTTTACAATGATTAGTTAATAGTACCGAGTCAGATTTTAGCATTTGTTCATCATAGTATTACCATTATAAAGCTTCTTTGATATCCTATACTTCCATATCAGTGTTGGTCTCTATTGTATTTCAAATAGTTCTATAATTTGAAAAAAATTCTCCATATTGAGTTGCAAAAGTAAAAAATTGAGGTATATTGTTTAAATCAATGACAATAGTGATATGCATTTTTGGGAAACTACTATTGATTGGACTCAATATTCAAATAGCAAATTTGAATTTTTCAATTATAACACTAATTTGTGATATGAATGTATATATCCAAATTTACACCAATTGAGCTGGAAGACAATTGCATGAATCTCAAAAGCACTACATATATGAATTCCTAATTTGAGATTTATTGATCAATCAGCTACTATGACTAAAAGCATCATAAAGTTGTCAGAGGAAGAGCAGAAATAAATAGTTTTGATTTAGGGCAAGTTAAAGAATGCATCTGATCATTCAAAAAAGTGACGAAAACATAAATTAATTTTATCTTGTTGTTTCTGTTTTAATGTCAATCGATGAACTATTACAAAATAAAACATGCGTACAAAAAGAAGCTAAAAATGATATTTCCCAAGACAAAAATACTCAAAAACAGACAACAAATTCTGAATCTAACAATGATATTGATCTTATCAAAATGTTTGATGATAACATAGCAGCATATGACAAACGATATCACATGAAATCAAATGAATCCATTGATGAAGTTTTTGCTTTAATCGAAAAAGTTTTAATTTCGAAGTATAAAACGCCATCGATCAATATTGTTTTAACAATACTCGAAGCAATCCGTTATAATTATAGATCTATCAATATTTATATTGATTTACTCAAACGAATCATCACAAAATATCCAATTCCTTCTTTACCAAAAGAACAAGTTGAAACTGCAAAATATAATGGCTTGATATTATCAACTAACCCTGAAGAAATATGTTTAATCGACAGATCCCTTTATGAGCAAGAAGAAAACGAAATTATAGAAATCATTGCATATGATCAAATTGATAAATTCAAAGAATATATTAGCAAAACTAAGAAGAATCGAATTTCCAGTTTTGACATTCCTTCTTATAGACGTGTTACTCATATTGAAGGTTGTGCATATTTTGGATCAGTAAATATATTTATGTTCCTATTCCCAGATGCATATAAATCGCCAGAAACATTTGAATGTGCTATCATAGGTGGTAACACTGATATTATTAATGAATGTTTGAAAAACGGTATGTTTTATTTTGATAGCGTAAATACCGCTATTGAATGCCATAACAATCAATTTCTTGAATATGTTTTAGAAATGGGGCTTGTTGATATTAGAAAATTTAAATATTTAGTTGACTCAACTTGCACTGCAACAAATTTGAAAGCTCTCTTCCTTCTTTACAATAAGGATAAGGAAGGAACAGCTCAAACATTTGCAGCATTTCCACAATTGAATGATATTATCAAAAGCAAAATAATTGATTTTTACATCAGATGTCAAAGGATTTTTAAATGATGCAATATATCATAATAACTTTGAGATGGTCAAATTTATCATTGATTATTACAAAGAAAATAACGAATTGTCTGACTCTATTCTTGAAGAAAATCTTTTACTTTCATTAGAATTTGGACAATCTGAGATAGCAAAATTTTTAGTTTCTCTTGGTGCAAAAATCAATAAACCTGACGAATTAAATAGGGAATTTAAACGTGCAATAAAAGAACTGAATGAAGAAATTGCAAAATTACTTATTTCAATTGGTGCAAATGTCAACATAGATATTGACGATTGTCATTCATATCTTCATAAAGCAGTATATAAGCAATATGAGAAGCGTGTTGCACTTCTTGTCAAACTTGGTGCAAACATAAATTCGCACGATGAAGATTATAACACGCCTCTTCATCTTGCAGTAAGAGAAAGAGATTATCAGATTGTGGATCTTCTTATTTCACTTGGTGCTGACCTTGAAGCAAAAGGTGAAAATGGACTAACACCTTTGCAAATGGCAGAGGACTATAGACACAATAATATTATACAACTTCTAATTTCAAAGGGAGCAAATGTCAATGCGACAAAAAAGAAATAAATATAAGTTCTCTAATGATGAATTCTATTCTCAAAACTATTTGTTTCTGTTCCTATTTGTTTTTAAATATGCCCATTCGCCCGTATGACATGGCCTTCAATTCTGTTCTTTAAAGTTATTTTTCATTTACGCTTCCTAGGGAGTTTAATTAAAGTCAGAAGGACGTAACTGCACCATTAAAAAAGAAATCATTAGGGAAAACCGCAACCACTTTTTTTAATCACGATTTAAATATATAAATCGCGATTTTTTAGAAAAATCGCGACTTTTTTAAAATCGCGTTTTTTAATAAATTGCGATTTTATTGTGGTCGCGATTTTTCAAAAAAATCGCGATTTATATGGAAAATTGTGATCAAAATTAAACGCGATTTTCTTTATCAATCGCGAACATAGAACAAATCGGAACCATGATTTTGGACCTCATTAAGCGAAAAGGTCGCAATTAAATTCAATAACAAAGCAATTCACAAAGATTTTTTGAATCTAGAATGGCTGTTTATCCATTTTAGACTGCTCACAATATGGTTTTTCTGCATACTTGCCGAAATCAGAGATCTAAAATCAAACAATCTCGATAACAAATACCTCAATCCCACTTTACTGGTCAAAATTCTTGAAGTCTTACTTTACTGCACTAATTAATCATAATTTACCTTTAACTAAAAAAATATTACATAAATCTAACAAAAAAACCTTTAGCAATAAAAATACATTTGCTCAAGCCTATCGGCAACTCAAATCTAAAAAACTTTTTATAACATTCTTATTACAATTTTTATTTTATTCTTATATTTATATTTTTTAGTTCACTTTTTAAATAATGATCTTTAGATTGAACCAATAACGCGATTTATATATTTAAATCGTGATTAAAAAAAGTGGTTGCGGTTTTCCCTATTAAATATAGATAAAACGATATTCAAACCATTAAACATTTAAGGGTGCACTTACGCCCCTATGACATGGCATTCAATTCAGATGTTTAAGGTTAATTTTCAATGATGCTTCACGCCAGTTATCAAAAATTTGAATTAAAGTCAGATGGGCGTAAGTGCAGCCTTAAATAAATCCATTTTTACAACACACAGTCTCCAATTTAATTTCTTCTGTTTGATTCTCTTATTCTGGGGACAGTAAGTTATGGAGGCTCAAATCATCCAATTTTTTTATTTATAAAGTTTTAAAAAAGTGACAATATCAAACGAATCTTGTCTTGTTGTTTCTGTTTTAATGTCAGCCGAAGGACAATTGCAAAATAAAACATGCGTACAAAAAGAAGCTAAAAATGATATTTCCCAAGACAAAAAATACTAAAAAACAGATAACAAATTCTGAATCCAACAATGATATTGATCTTATCAAAATGTTTGATGATAACATAGTAACATATGATAAACTATATCACATAAAATCAAACGAATCCATTGATGAAGTTTTTGCTTTAATCGAAAAAGTTTTAATTTCGAAGTATAAAACATCATCGATCAATATTGTTTTAACAATACTCGAAGCAATCCGTTATAATTATAGATCTATCAATATTTATATTGATTTACTCAAACGAATCATCACAAAATATCCAATTCCTTCTTTACCAAAAGAACAAGTTGAAACTGCAAAATATAATGGCTTGATATTATCAACTAACCCTGAAGAAATATGTTTAATCGACAGATCCCTTTATGAACAAGAAGAAAACGAAATTATGGAAATCATTGCATATGATCAAATTGATAAATTCAAAGAATATACATGCACAACAACAAAGAATCGAGTTTTCAGTTTTGATATCCCTTATTTTAAACGTGTTACACTACTTGAAGGTTGTGCATATTTTGGATCAGTTAATATATTCATGTTCCTATTCCCAAATTCATATAAAGCACCAGAGACATTTGAATGTGCTATTATGGGTGGTAACACCGATATTATCAATGAATGTTTGAAACATGATATGTTTTATTATCATATTGTACAGACTTCTATTGAATGTCATAACAATCAATTTCTTGAATATGTTTTAGAAATGGAACTTGTTAATATAAGAGAATATTGGTTTATGTTTCAACCCATTTTCACTTCAACAAATTTGAAAGCTCTATTTCTTATGTACAATAAATATAAGGAAGGAATAGCTCCCTGCTTTGCAGAATTTCCACAATTAAATGATATTATCAAAAACAAAATAATCGATTTTACTTCAAATATCGAACTTTTTTTAGAAAAAGCAATACATCATAATAACTTTGAGATGGTCAACTTTTTCATTGATTATTACAAAGAAAATAATAGTTTGTCTGACTCTATTCTTGAAGATAATCTTTTTCTGGCATTATTTTTTAATCGATCTGAGATAGCAAAATTTTTAGTTTCTCTTGGTGCAAAACTTAATGATGATATAGTGTTAAATGATGAATTTATAGATGCAGTAAGAAAACTGAATGAAGAAATAGCAAAATTACTTATTTCAATTGGTGCAGATGTCAACTTAGAAATTGACGATTATCATTCATATCTTCATAAAGCGGTATTGGACAATGATAGCAAGCGTGTTGCACTTCTTGTTAAACTTGGTGCAAACATAAATTCAAAAGATGAAGATCGTAACACACCTCTCCATCTTGCAATAATGGAAAGAAATTATAATATTGTGGATCTTCTGATTTCGCATGGTGCTGACCTTGAAGCAAAAGGTGAAAATGGACTAACTCCTTTGCAATTGGCAGAGGCATATATAGCCAGTGATATTGTACAACTTCTAATTTCAAAGGGAACAAATGTCGATGCGAAATAAAAGAAATAAAGTTGTGTTCTCTAATGAAGTTCATTCTTTTTTGATATTTGAAATCAAAATCTGGTAAAAAAAGAAACCACTGAATAGGCCTATTTTTCATACACAGCCTACAAATTAAATTTCTTCTGTACGGTATTTTCATTTTTCTAATGAACGTAAGTTATGCTTAATTTGTAAACTAAATCTAACTCACAATGAATTCTTTATACAATTTTATGTCCTGAAAATCGGAAGAAATAAAAAATTTTTAAAAATTCGTTATCAAATTTAAGTTGATAATGAATCCTTTACATAATTTATTTACTAAAAAGTCTGAAGAAATATAGTATAAATCAAAACAATAAATTTTTAAAATAAATCAAAAATAAGGAAAGAAAATATCCGTATATATACAAATAAACATAACATAATACATAATGCAAACATAAAAATAAAATAATACATCAAAATAATTCTAGAGTTTCTTGTATTTGTTCATTTCGAACTTAAGTGACTCAAGATGATGTTTCAGATTTGATCTGAAGTCCGATTTGATCTCAGAAGAGAACAGTTTAGTCAGCATTTGCTGCATGACCCGAACTGCCTTGGAATTTCCGAAAATCAAATAAGAATTTTTGATCGTGCACGCGAAACTTCCCATTTTAGGAGCAATTAGTGGTAGGAAATTGTCCAGGAGGCCAAATCCTCCAATTCTTGTCAATGTCATAATAAATTTGCAGAATTTTCTGAAGACAAAAGGATTTTGTGTCTCCGCCATCTTCTGGAACTTTATCTGACAGTCCGGTAGAGAAAAAGTGCTGATGACCGCATTTTTATTTTTCTCGGCCGCGTTGAAGATTTTCCAAGCTGCATCCATGGACTTCCTCGTTCCTGTGATCAAGTTATCGAGTAATAAATGGACAAATTCGCCGTTGAACAAAATTTGAGATGAGAAATTTGGAAAATTCGTGCATTGCATGAGAATTTCGAAGCATTCCTCAACGTTGATGTTGCTGCCACATAAGGCTTGCACGCATATTTGTCCTAGGAACGATCCTGCCAATCCTTCGTAATATGAGTCGGAGTCGGTGAGTTTTATCTGGTTCATTAGACGGATTATGGAGTTTATGATGGGAAGGAACCGCTTGGAATAGCCGTGAAGGATGACTTGTAAGATATCGTTTATATGATCTAATTGCGGTGGACAATTGCCTTGGCAGACGTAGCGGCCGTACTGGTTTAATATAATGGAGATGAACTGCGAAGCGGTGGCCGAAATTTTGAAAATAACATTTTGTTTGAAATTTCGGCTCTGGAGAATGAAATTGTGGGCGAACCAGCCTGAATGCATGCACATAATCGAGTTCAGGAAGTATCTACCGATCTTGTATTCGGAAGCTTCGATGACAGTTTCCAAAATTTGATCTTTAAGGAGGAGATTAAGGATTTGGTCGGAAGGAATCGAGGAAAGTGTACAGATGTCGAATGATGTTGGTGAATAGACGTCGTTCTTAAGGGATTTCATTAATCCAACACAAATAATCGGATTTTGTAAGAAACTGGCGATATTTGCAAGCTCAACTCTGCAGAGACGATGGAGCTCACAATCGAACTCTGTAAATGGAGGAGAAAGTTGAAGATTGATGAGAATTGATAATAAATGAACTTGTTCAACGGAAATCGAGAAATGGGAGCAGTTTTCTGGTCTTTTATGTAATCTTATGTTCTCGTGGCATAAAACCAAGAAGATTCTGACAAATCTGTATAAAAAATCGATATTATCTGGATTTTTGAAGATATTAAGCATAAAGAGCCTGATCTTTGGATATTTCATCATCAGTTTGAAGAAGTACGATATTCTATATGCATGGCATGATGAGTTATCCGCGATATCCAAATATTGATTTAATTCTATATGATTAAATGAATTTATAAGCTTGACAATCGGACTTGTATTATTTGTGGTTGCTTCTAGTAATGAAGAGAGCTGTTTCTCATCAATACAATAGTTGAAAATTTTAAATGGATTTGTATTTATGACATTTTGTAATTCTTCTTGAACGTAGCTCTTGATTGGATAATGAAGTACTTTGAAAGCATGTTGCGGTCCATTCGATTTGATTTTTGGCTGATATTCTCCAAAATAAATCATTTGATTTAAAAATTCATCTTTGTCAACGCCAAACACCATGTTTTCGGCGAGTATATTTTCCTTTTCTGGTGGGTTCGTCGGTTCGTAAAACAAATCTAAATTTATCGAATCATTTGGCTTTTTAAGGCCTTTTACCCAATCGTATGAATAAATTAAGTCCGGTTGAGACTTTTCTTGCGTTTCCTTCTCGATTTTACCGATTGTTTGATGGTTTGCGAACTCAACTTTAATATTATTTTTAAAATTGCGTGCGTCTTGAATAGAAACCGAACCGTGGGTTATTTCATACCAATTTAAGTATGCATGTTCATAATCTTCGAAATTTTCATATAATAAATAATTTGGCTCCGGAGGAATGGATTGAGACTGCCATTGCCTGTCTACAGTCATATGGTGTAATAGCATAACTGTATCACGCTTCGGAATTTGAACTGGCAAAACTTCTGAAATATCTACTCTCTGATCTGAAAAAAACTTCGAAATCATGCGTAGGAAGTTTTTAGGTTGCAGTGGATTTTTTGCCGGATCGAATTTTCTATATATTGGAGTATTAACTTCAATCAAAGAAGGACGCAAAGGAATGAAAACTTTGGAGACAATCTTCCTCGGGAGAAGTATGTTTTTGATTAGTGTTTCAATCCGAGACTTCCATGCATGGATTCTAGTTTCGTAGTCTTTTTGGGTTATTTCTGGTTCGATATTTGGAAACTCGAGCTGTTTTGACGATAAATAACTATAGTTAAATGCTAATTCTAAGAGTGTAATTATGGAATCGTCATTAACTAGATCAAAACGGATTTTTTCATAAAATTTATCATATAAAATCAAATTTTCACCAGCATACACTACACTTTTTACAATGTTTTCATCGTCCTTCGATGGGCTTTTAATTAAAAAAGAGTCTCCGGGTGATAATTCATGCGCATCGAAGGTAGAAACAGACATTGAATTCGACATTCAATGTTAAAAAGTGACACGTGTAGAGAGAATTTTTATTCGGCTTTTGAACTTAAAATGTAAAGCCATGATTGAATATTTAATGAAATAATTTGTCAGATTTTTCGTTTGACGTTTTTTTCGAAAATTTTTTTTGATCGCAATATTTATTTATATTGAATTCTATTGTATATTCAAAATCGATTTAAAGATCATTTTCAATTCAAATTCGGAATTAATGAATCGCAGTATTAGATAATCCACTGATTAATGTTGCTTCATAAAACACATCCCAAAATCAATATTTGCTTCCGATATTAATTTGACTATTTTTCTGATAGTAGATCGGAGTTTTATTAGCCAGGATCTAAATATCTGATAATAACTTTAGATGGAGTTTAACGTATGCAAAATGGTATATCAATGACTAAAATGATTTGTTTAAGAATATTATCTTTTGAATTATGGAATTTTACTGTTCACTTTCAATTTCTGGTTAATAAACAAGTTTATATAATGTATTCATAATCATAGATGCAATCATTAATTATCAGTAATACTATTGTATATAGAAAACAAACAAAATAGAATAACTTCCATTGTTTTGATTGGTTCTAATCCGGTGGAGCCATTTGAAATAAGAAGATCAACTATCTCGTTATATCCATTTTCATATGCATAATAGATAGCTGCTTTTCCTTCATTATCAATTGCGTTTATATCCACATGATAAGCGATCAAAAGTTTTATTATTTCTATACAATTTTTACTTGCAGCATAATGAAGAGCAGTTCGCCCGTTATTATCCCTTGCATTAATATCTGCGCCGTATAAAATAAGAACTTCTGATGTCTCTTTGTGGTTGCTTCTTGATGCATAATGAAGAGGTGTTACTCCATGTTCATCTTTAACATCAATATCAGCACCATTTGAAACAAGAAGTTCTACAATTTCTTGATGGTTATTGATGGCTGCGTGATGAAGAGGAGTTTTTTGAATTTCGTCTTTTGCATCTAAATCTGCACCATGTGAAATAAGAAGATCAGCAATTTCTTTGTTATTATTTATAGATACAAAATGAAGGGCTGTTCTATCATAAATTGATTTTGCATTGATATCTATGCCATGTGAAATTAGAAGTCCCGACACTTCTTTATAATTTTTAAATGCTGCTAAATGAAGAAGATTTTGGGATTTTTCTGTCTCCGAATTTACATCTGCACCGTATTTGAAAAGGAGTTCAATAATATCTAGTCTATTAAAAAATACTGCATAAAAAAGAGCAGTTCTATCTAAATCATCTTTTGCATTAATATCTACGCCATTTAAAATGAAATACTCTGCTGCTTCTACACTATTTACAGTTGCAGCTGTATGAAGTGGGAGCAACTCAGTTAAATCAATCTTATTTAGATCAATATTGTGATTAATAAGAAGCTCTATTAATTCTCTATTATTTCTTTTTATCGCATAATGAAGAGATGTTAGATCATGATTATCTTTGGTATTGATATTTGCGCCATTCAAAATAAGAATTTTCGCTGCTTCTGTATAGTCTTTAATTATTGCATATTGCAAAATATCAAACCCTTTATCAGTTTTTACATTTGGATCTGCACCAAACGAGATAAAAATTTCTACAATTTCTGTATAACCACTCTCAGCTGCATATAAAAGAGCACTTGAACCATCAACCATCTTTGAGTTGACATCTGCACCATGCCACAAGAGCAGCTGTGTAATTTCTTTATTATTATTGTTAACTGCACACATTAGTGCTGTTGCATCACCATTGCCTTTGGCATTGACATCAGCATTTTTTGAAATAAGAAATTCTACGATTTCTTTATTTTTGCTCCGAGCTGCATAATGGAGAGGAGTCATCCTTTCATTATTTTTAGCATTGACGTTCGCACCATTAATAACAAGAAGTTTTACAACTTCATAGCAATTTGCAAATGCGGCATGATGGAGTGCCGTATCCCCTTTAAAATCCCTGGCATCTAAATCTGCACCATTTGCAATTAGAAGTTTTGCTATATCTATTTTTTCTATTGCAACATGAAGAGCAGCAATACCTTCTTTAATTTTTGCATTGATATTTGCCCCATGAGAGATGAGGAGTTCTAGTATTTCTTTATTATTCTCAAGCACTGCTTGAAATAGAGCTCCAACTCCATTATTATCCGTAGCATTAACATCTGCACCAAATGCAATAAGTAGCTCTGTTAGATATTGGTTAATGTTTTGAATTGCAAAAATGAGTGGAAAATTTCCATCATTATCTTTATCGTTGATATTTGCACCATTGAAAATAAGTTTTTCTGCTATTTTATTGTTATTATTATTTAAAGCTATCTCAAGCGAATATATTCCAGTATTAGTTTTTTGATTTACATCAGCGCCATTTGAAATTAGGATATCGGCAATTTCTTCCTGATTATAAATTATGGCATCATGAAACGGAGTGAATCCATCTTTATTCATTGAATGTACATTTGCCCCAAACGATATAAGAAGCTCTACTATTTTAGTATTTGGAATTCTTGCAGCATAAGAAAGGGCTGACTCACCATCACTATCAACAATATTGATATCAATTCCTTTGTAGATAAAATACTCAACAAGTGATGGAATGTTGAATAATGGTGAAAAAACAAAGCATTTGTTTAAAGAATTAGTAATATCAATATTTACCAAATAAGCCTTAAGATTTTGACAATGATAACAAGCAAGTAAATCGATATCTAATTCATATTCATTTGCCAAAAAAGATACAAAATCAATGTTATGTGAATAAATTGCATAAGTCATGCATAACTCGTCAGGAAATTCGAACTTCAAACATTCGTTCATTATATCGGCATTTCCGCTCAAAAATGAAAATTGAAGACATATATCGGTGATTTCTGAATGAAATTTTGATCTTAAAAACTTAAGGATACCCTTACATTGCGTAGTTAGAAAGAGAATATGATATTGTCATGATTGCTAAACTTTTAGGCTCCAGAAATGAATATACATCAAACTGAAACAATTGATAAATTGAATGAACTTTTGAGAGGTTCTCAAATAAAAAAAATTATCTAATTTTTTACAATATTACTATTATTTTATCCACATATGTATATATAGTAATTTGAGAAAACTTTTAGGAAAAAATAAGTTTAATAAAAATCTGAATTTTACTTGTTGTGGGATTGTTATTAATTGACACTCCAGACGTATTACTAATAGTTATGCGTATGCAATTAAAGTATTTCTGATGGACAAAATGTGAGATTTATATCAGATAATTCATTTCTACTATTAAGTTATTCATTTATGAGTTTGCACTTATTCGCACTAAATAAATAACTATTAAAAATTGTTTTAATTAATTGACACCATATAATAGAGTGAATTTTGTTTGATCAAACAACAATAGATGATAGATATAAAGCCAAGAAACTTGCTATTAATATGCTCTACTTGCTATTTCAATGTAAGTATGATATTTTCTAAATGTTTCGTTCAGATAACTTAGATATATTAGTCAAAATTTGAAATTTTAATAGCACATATATTAAAAATAATTATTATTCATAAAAGATTAATGAAATAGTAAAAAAATCAATCAAATTATAAAAATACAACATTTAGAAGAATTCTTATTATCCTTCAAAAAGTCAGTATTTCTGCTGTAATTTTCTACAACATTGTAGTTATTGCACTTTGTCTATGGATTTGTATATATGTTATATATAAATTATATATCTAAACTGCCCATAAGTGCAATTTTTATATAAATTGTTTATTTCTTTAACAATTTCATATGAAATATGCTTTTTTAAGCGTATCAAAGCTGTGTTCTTAATGTGCATGGATATATCAAGAAAAATGTTGAAAAAAAATGTGAATTCACAAATTCACTGAATTTTCACCGTTTTTTGAATTTTGCTACAGCACTAATATTAAATAATACTAAATCTTCTGTCTTTGTAAAAGAATAAATTCTGACAAAAAGTGCTCGTTTAAATTTAATGATCATCTGTATGACTAAGTGGTAAAAAGTGTTTATGACCAAAAAGGGTTACATGCTTAGTCTATTTTTCTGACAGGATACTCTAGATTTACATGATCTCTATTTCATATCTCCGTTTTTAGATTCTTCGACAGATTTTATGATAGAAAAAGATTAACAAATTTCCGGCATGTTAATGAAGAAATCTGCAGCTACCCTCAATATTATTTCAATAATCAGTATCGTTTCTCTTACAATTTATTTTTTTCTCAATAATTTAACAAGAAATAACAATACACACTTGGTTTTACGTATAAAAGCTAAGTGTCGAACTTAATCAACTTTACTTACTTAGCAAATGAATATTTTTGTGGTTGCGAGTTCTGAATGCTGAAGTTTTAGATTTCTCTATAAATGATATCATTGCACTTACAATGTTGTTCCAGCCTATCGCATAAATCATAGAAAATCCAAAAAAAAAAAAATAATATAAAGAAAATTCATGTCATGAAGTTCAAAAAATACCGTGTAACATTAAAATTTGTTATGCATAATACATTTTAGCTATTATTGATTTTTTTTAATTTTCGAGAAATTGAATAGTGAGTCCGATAGAGAAATTTTTAAAAATCCTAGTGCCTCATAGAAGTAATTTCCCTCGTCTCCCATACTTCCAAATGTATGCATATGACATAAACTTTTATGCATTACACAAGTGGCCAATAATATCTATAGAGTAAAAAATTAGAAATTTAATTTTTTTATATGATAGTTATATTTCAGATTTGCGAGCGTAACTTTTTTCTCCATGGCATACTTGTTTTAAGAGCAAATGATCAAAATCGTCCTTCAATTATTGAAGGAGCTGATATCTTTTGAAAATTGAATTGAAAGGGTATTCAATTTTCAAATTTCCTCTCAATTTTGGAAACATATCAACTCTATGAATTAACAATTATGTGCCTTCACAGTTTATCAGTCATATAAGGTGCTTATAAAGAAAAAAGTTACGCTCGCAAAATATGTTTTTATATAGATTTCACATAAAATAATTATGTAATTTCTAAAAAGAATATTTTTGTTCTTGAATATTAAAGTGTATTGTAGTTTAAAAAGTTTTAAATATGTTGCTAAAATTTCAGGTTTATAGCTCATGTCTAGCATGACTTCTTCGTATGCGCAAAAAATCTGACACGTAAGGGTATCCTTAAAGCAATTAACCGCACCATGATAGCAACATAATTCAAGTAATGAAAATCCATTCTCGGATTGAGGATAAAAGCTGCTTTGAAATCTTTGAGACTTATCAAAATCATCTTTTGATGTGAATGCAATAAATGATTTTATGTCATCCTCCACAATCGCATTGTAAATTGTGTTTTCATCATGCACGTTTAATGATTTAGTTTCTTCCACTTCATTGAGAAAATCTTTAAGACCATGATGATCTGATGTTAACTTATAATCATCAGAAAGCATTTTTATTATGAGATAATAGGAAATTAAAAATCGATTGTAATACTGTGAAATATATAGTAATTTATCACAAATATATTCAGGTGGATAAATGTTTGTTTCAATTAGGTTTATTTTCATCATTTGGTAAATTTGTTTTATTTCATTAAGATTTTTTGTTTTGATTTGTATGTAAGATGAAAATATTTCTTGATAAGCTCCATATTTTTCCATTAGCTCGTTGAAAAATGGATTAAAATCATTCTTTTTCGACATTTCAATTGAAAAATAAAAAATAAAAAAATTACAACATTCAATTTTTATTCGATTTATTCAAAATCAAATCTGACAAAAATAATCATTGGGATTTTTATGTTATCCTCTCTTCTGACAAGTTATGTCTTCATCAATTACTTTTTCATCTTTGTTCAGGGGTCTAGAACTTTGTAAACCAAAAAGAGATATACAGGCGTGAAGATGCATAGAAAATAAAACCTTAAACAAGAATTTTGAGAGAATGTCAGAAAGTGGTAAGTGCACCCTTTAAAAAAAATCATAAGGTTGAATAAAAAAAGCTTAAAAGGTACGCAACTTTATTATTTTTACAAAAAGAATTTGAGATTGAATTTTTTGATATTCATAATCAAGTGATATTCTAAAAAGATCATCGCACGAACAAACAAATCTGCTATCTCGTTTTGCACCATCTGAATGAAAATCACTAATTATTGAATCCCGTACGTAATCAGGCAATTGATTAAACTTATCGGAAATTTCTTGAGTTGCAACGCATTTTAAAGTGTTGTCCGAATATACTTCAACCACATCAAAATCCTGATTATTGTTTAAAGTAACAGAATTTAATCCATCTTCCATTTAAACTGATAAAAAGTGACGCTGATTTCAATAAATCTGATGAAAATATTTATCAAATATAAATTTATTGATAATATAAACTTTTTGTCTATTTTCTCAATTCATTATAAACAACAATAAATTTTTGACTTTGCAATAGATACATGCTGTATTTCAATATTTATAAATACATTGAATATGTGAATGTTCTCTGACTAGTTTGAGTTTAAGATTAATACCTTTCGTTGGATCACCTTCCTTTAATAAAGAGTAAGATTTGTAAGATTCTTCTTACAGTTCTGGGATGGGAGATGAGTGTATTTTGAACGAAAATAAGAAAAAAAACTTCATGAATAGCAAATAATAATAAAAATAAACAAGAAATTAAATAAATAAATAAAAAATTACTTCGCATATTTTGTGATAACTCTTTGCAAACCTTCCATTGAAACAGGTTTAACAACGAATGTATTCATTCCTGAGTTAATACACTCATCCATGTCTTCTTTCAATGTACTTGCTGTGAGTGCAATAATTGGAATTTTTGAATATTTTTTGTCTGAATTTCGGATGATTTTTGTTGCTTCAACACCATCCATAATTGGCATGTGTTGGTCTATCAAAATGATATCGAAATCTTCCTTATCTAAACTATCAATTGCCTCCTGTCCATTGGACACAATCTTGAATTCAAACGACAATTTAGTCAATACTTTTTGAAGAACTAATTGATTGACTTTGTTATCTTCTGCTGCCAAAACTTTGATTTGTTTCTCTTCTTCTTCACTCAAATTAGACTTCTCGTAGTATTTATATGATCGCTTAGCCTCATTTAATAATCGACGAAGCTGTGCTGGTAAAATTGGTTCTTTGAATATTTCATGTGTCACTTTTTCATTGAAATAACGGTTTTCTGTGAAAATAATGATTTTTGCCTTTGGATAAATTTTTTCCAACTCATTTGCTTCATTTTCATTTTTAGCAGCGACCACTTTGATATGAGCTTTCTTAACAATCGGATCTTTAATGATTGTCACACCATAAAACTTCGCAAACTTCATCATGATGACGTAAGAACTCATTCCTGCCAAATCTAACAAATAAGTTGGTTCATTACTTAATTTCGGATTTATATATGGAACATAACAAACTTCATAAGGAAAATGAACCATAAACGTGGAGCCAACATTTGGAACAGATTCTACTTTCACTTCACCTCCGATTAATTTCAATAGTTTTGAAATTAATGACAAACCAATTCCAGAACCACCATAATGTCTTGTTACAGAAGAATCACCTTGAATGAAGGTTTCGAAGATCTCTGTCAGTTTTGATTTCTGTATACCAATACCTGTATCAGAGACATTTAAGTCAAAACCGCCTCTATCGTTGTTGACCCTGAATTCGCAGTTTATAGACCCTTTTTCTGTAAATTTGATGGCATTTGAAATAAGGTTATGACAAATTCTCATCAAAAAGTGTGGGTCTCCATAAAACATCAATGGAAATTCAGCGTCAACATCGACGAAGAAGTGGACATTAGGGTTGACTTGTTGACTTAGATTAGTAAACAAAGGCTTGAGATATTCAGCGATTGTGAAAACGATGTAAGAAGGTGTCATTCTGTTCTGATCAATTTTAGCAATGTCCAAAGTATCATTTAACATCTCCATGAGTCTGTTGAATGAATCTTTGACGACTTTCATCATTTGCTGCTGTTCTTCTGTCATTTCTGTTTGCATCAATAGTTCTAGCAATGACAACATTCCGCCCATTGGTGTTCGAATTTCATGTGTCATGTTTGCTAAAAACATTGATTTCGCATTGGAAGCTTCGAGTGCTTTTTGCTTCTGTTGTTCAAGGAGGAGCTCGTTTTCGCTGAGTTCTGTTAAATCGAAGTAGACTCCACTTAAATTGTTGTTGTTTTTACGGCCACGGAATAATATCCATCTCATTTTCTCGAAAATCATGGAGACTTCGACTTCAAATGGTTCTTCATCGATAAGGGCTTTGTCGAAGACGTTTCTCACCTTTTCAAGACAATCTGATGAAACATTGTGCTCCAAACTTGTTAAATTCAGGTGTACGGGCTTGTAAGTAACAGGACGTGATGTAAAAACAAGTTCTTGCTCATCATCGTTCTCAAATTCCCAATGAACAACATTTGAATGGAAAAGTGCCAAATCAATGACACTTTTTGCATCAATGAGTTGGTCTTTGAATCTTTTCTCGTAATCGCAAAGAATGAAGGCGAAGCGATGGTGTCATTTTGATGCCTTTCCATAATGGTGTCATACCATCTGTATGTCTTTTCATCTGTTGTGATTACTAATGCGAGAAAATGCAAACTCGTCTGTTCGCCGGATTTGATCTTAGCGTAGTTCAATTCGAACTTGGATTTAAATGATTCTTCGTAATACTCTACGAATTCGCGACCGATATGTGGTACAAACCGCTGAGGAGCGAATGCAGTTAAAATTTCATCGGTTTTAACATCGATTGAGTACAAGTTGATGTAATTACCTGCAGCAGCCATCAGCGTTTGGTCCAAATCAATGGCAAACTCTGCTGTCGGCTGTTGTAAATCTTCGTGGATACAGAATAAGCAGTTATGGTAAGAACAGTACCACATGTACTCTCCCGTGCTGCTCTTGAGTCTGAATGTAATCCAATTTGGCGTTCTGATGTACTTTGAGAAGAATCCTGCATCTTCTGGGTAAATTATGTCGAAAATCGAGTCAATTGGTCGAGAATATCCAAGTTCTTGGGCAAGTGATTCATCCATGTAATTACTACCTTTATGGAATACATGAATATTCAACATTTGTTGTAATAATAATTCATCTGAGTGAATATCTGTTTCTTTGTCACAAACCTTCTTCATTCTTGTGAGATCTTCAACAAGGATCGTTCGCACGTAGTGGGATTTGATGTAATCGCGTTCAACCCTTGAAATAATTCCAATCCACTGATTATTTGGCATTTTGTAGATGTGAAGCTCGTCTGTGTTGTATGGTGTCTTCTTTATGCAGTTTACAAGGTCATCTGTCATTTTAATCGACCATTTTGACTGATGAGATAAGATATCACAACTTTCACCGGTACTTCCGTAAAATTCGAATAATCCGAATACGCCAATACGTCTAAATAGATCGTGTACACGTTGTAGTGTCTTGGAATCTTCAGAAAGTGAAATATTAAGATGGAAAATTAAAGATAAAAGTAAAGCAAGGGTTGCAAATGGTTCTTCTATGCTGTAAATAATCGGATAATTTTTGTCGATCACGCCAACAACGTAATAATTGTTTCTGCCGAGTTTTTGCATTGATGCGTAAATTAAGTAATTTTTTCTGCGATAAATCTTGAGATGTGTTGGTTTCATCTTCTGTACGATGTCAAAAACTATTTTGTTTATCTGTTGGTCCTTTGTACAGAACTCTATAACTTCTAATCCGGCTTGTACGTCACAGAAGAAGCCAAAAGCATCGAAATCGACTCTAGAAAATATTTGTCTTATCGCACAAATAAAAGTATCGATTCCTGTTGCTTTTAACATAATTTGATTAATAAGATCGTAAAAAACGAGTCTTGTATTGCAATGCATGTAATATTTGGAAGATAATGGATTTATTGGTTCATCTGTGTATATTTTGATTGGTTTTTCTGGAATATCGATTGTAATTTCGTGAGTATTTGTATGTGAAATTCCAACTATTTCAGGAAGGATGTTTTCATCGGAGCAAAGCTCGCATTGTTGGATCTGTGATGTTGTATTATGATTGACATCGAATAAGAAGCAGTGCGCTGTTAATCCAAGATTTATGAATTTTGAAAAGGGCAAAACAAAGAATTTATGGATGGAATTCGATTTCAAGAAATATCTAATCTGTGCATATGAAGTTTCATCGAACCAACATGTTGAATGATTGATAATTGGAACAATTGTAGGCTTTTTTCGTAAGAATTTTGAAGTTATTGTTGAATATAAATGTATCGTTTTGAAATCGCGTAAACTGTGGAAGTGGATTACGATATAAAATTGGGAGAAAACGTGTGAATAAAGCAATTAATGCAATAATTGTAAGAATTATCGATGCACCTTTTAATAATGGATATCTATTCCAATTTTGTTGACGAATTCTTTTAAAATTCGGATTAATTATCGCCATTTTTGAAAATATAAATTTCGAGTTTTGATTTTTCCCGAGAGTAATAGTAAAATTTTGCGATTTTAATTCATTAATTGCTGTTTCAATGGTATCGAAGTGCTCTAAAAAGTTAATGCTCTCTTTTTTGCACGATGGATTATAATATAGATTAAGTTTGTATCTTTCGGCTACTGACACTAAAAAGGACGATTCTTTTTGTAGTGAATCGGCCAATGGAATACCATTTTCTAGGGGCAGACCGAAGAGAAAGTAGAAAAAAGAGAGCATTTCAAATTATTGATTGTTGTAAATTTCATTTCCATCAAATTATGATCATTTTTAATGCTCATCTGAGTCTATATGATAAATGAGTGATTATTTTTTGAATATAATTTCAATGCGGCTTCAATTCTGAAACACTGATTATTTTAAAAAATGCTCATAGATGAAGCATACAGATCCGTTAATATAACATTGAATTCGTGTGGTTCAAAACTTCATCGAAAAACGTTGAAAGAGAAACAGAAATAATTTTGGATCAGTATTCTATAAATCAATTCCAAATTTTCTCAAAATCAATAAAAACCATCGTTTCAAATTCATGTCATTAGCCAAAAGCAGCAAAAAGTCGCTTTTACTGCAGTATTCTTGATACTTACGAAGTGGCAATATCAATGGCGCAAACAAATCCATGAAAAGTTTTCGAAATATTAATTTTTATGGAAAATGTTGTAAAGAAAAGCTCCGAACACCTTTTAATAAACAAATTTTTGATCACTAATATTAAAGGTCATGTACCTCTCTTAAAAAGCTCACTTAAAAATTTCATATCGACCGAAATTTGAAATGTTTTTTTCAGTTAAAAAAAATAAGAAGAATATATCTATAAATCTACAAAATATCTATTTATAAATAATAATATCCGCAAATTTATACTTCTTGCTTCTCTTCGCTTTCATTCGAGACGGTAGAGTCCTTCTTTTCTTCACTAGAAGCAGAAGAATCTAATTTCTTCTCCTCATCATCTATCTTCTGTTCTGCCTGGTTTTCGTCTAAGAAGCAGCAGCATGTAATTCTGATGATTCTTTCGCCGAAACCAGCAATGTTGTTATGAGCTGTAGTACCGACCATCATCAAGATGAAACCAGCGGCTTGTAAGATTGACCAGTAGTTAACAGCTTCACCGTATGTATGCTTTGAAGCGTAGTAAAGGATGACCATGATGATCCAAACAAGGATTGTTCTGCAGGCATTAACTAATGTTCTTGCAACAGCAGAAAGGTATTTGACGTAAACGAAGGATGTCCAGTTCAAAATGCAAACAGCGATTGCGGATGTGAAAACTAATGCGGTAACTTGTGGGATATGGAATGTCATGTATATTGTACTCTTGAAGTATTCTTGGACACCATAATCATTGCCGTGAATGGCGTTTGCAGCTGGTAATGCGATGGCGCAGCATAAGATGAAACCAGCCAAACCTTCACTTCCGACCAAGAATAGCGGAGGAATATTAATGCCCTTCAATAACTTCTCTTCGAAGGTGAATTGAATGGCAGAGAAGATCTGTGAAATTAATGTAAGACCAATACCGAGAAGTGACTTACCTTGGAACTTCGTTGTTCCAGAATCATCACTCATAACAGCAGATACACCAACGAGAACTAAACCAACAAGGGCGAAAAGAACTCCGGTAACGTGGAAAAGATTTGGTTTGCGACCAAGGAAAGCCCAAGAGAAGAGAAGTGTAAATACAATAACCATACCTCTGATGATCTGAATAACAGAAGCATTGCAGTATACAAGACCAATACTCATCATTGTTGTTGAAATTAAATCACAAGCAGCGAACAACAGAACATAGAGGGGATATTTCCACTTAAGTCCACTGGTCGGATCACCTTCAACATCTTCTCTTGCGATGAAAATGATTTTGTCGTTCTTCGGATCTTCCTCTTGAGACATCGAATCAAGGGAATTTTCTTCCTCTTCTTCTTTCTTGGTGCATCTGAAAATAAGCCAGCTAATGCCATAGATGATTAAACAGAAGAATTCACCTAAAAACATAACTGCAGTTAAAAGCCAGGGCTTTTCGAAATATTTGATGGTACCATCAAATGTTTTTCCATCTGTTTGATATAATAATTTGCTAACTATACTGTTACAAGCACCTGTACACAGTATAAGTAAGGCTACAACAATCTCAGCTACTACTGACGGCATTCTATAAATAAAAATGATTGGAAGTTCTATCGTCTTTTGATAAAATCAAATTTTATAGCAAATTTTGAAAAATATGATTAGTCGCAATAGATACATCATTTATTATTTTACAACTATAGATTTCCTTTGAAATTTTTTTGACAAATACAATAAAATTCAAAATTGAATGAACAGTTTTAACATTTGGCCGAGATCATTTATTTCGTATTGTTTAATGTAACGAATATAAATTACCGATTAATGATTTTGACAATTTAATCTTTGATTTTCGACTACATTTTTTCATAAAGATCTTGCATTTTGTATTACAGATGGGATCAATATTCAAATGGGTTGCTGAAATCTAGTGATCATTATGAGGATAAATTTGAATGTAATTCGGTCAAACATTTCTCAAAAAATATTGTACTATCTCTCAAATTTTGTGAGAGATTTGTCAAAATCAAACTTTCTGAGAGATATTGATTGTAAATTTTGGATACTTTAATTTTGGTAGAATAATAATGTTCGGCATTTTATCCGGATTTATTGGAAAACATAAAAAATTTTGGCAGATTTTCTGAAAAGTTTCAACCCAATTCCATAAAAATAATCCAAAAAAATAATGTGATTCCAAAATTGAACCATTGATTGTTGTTTATCTGTAAAATTCATTCAATTTTCGGTCAACATTTGAACCTTTACTTACGAAAAGATGTCTGAGATAATGCATGATCCGAATAATTAAGAACAAATCCTAATCTCCCAGTAAGGATGTCAATTCGGAAAATTGTTTTCATTTTAGGAGAATATAATTTTCCTTTTCGAAAATTTAAAAAGTGAGACGCGCAGGATTCGAACTTTTTTAAAAGTTGATTTAAATATATTCTAGTGTGGATTCTAAGGATAATATAATATTTAAAATAAGAATATACTAGTTTAGGTGGTATAATTTTTTTCGATAAATTTGAGAGCATGTACGTTTAGGGCATCAAAAGTGTCAATTCGCTCAGCGAAAGCTGAGCTAGCTTCGTTCTCGAAAGAATAGGGAAGGAGTGAAAGAGAGTGATACAGATGTTGACACATTCATATCATTTCAACAAATTTTGATCAAATTGAAATGCAATGAAATTCAATTCACTTCATATCCTTCAGTCAGTACATTGACATCCTTCTACATCACAATGATAACTCGTGCATCAATAGTTCTACAACTAACTCAGAAAAAACAAGATTTTTCCTTCCAGCTTACAGCTTTTAAAAAGTTTCGATGATAAAAATCACTCTACTCTTGTTTATCGATATGTTGTGATAGTAGGTAAACGTATTCTTATCGATATTAATAAAAATATTTTTACGAAAATCTGAACCAATTACAGAGTTATTCATAAAGTTTATGATAACTGTAATTACTTCATCTTTGTTTTATATTTGAATAAACAATTTAATTTAATTTGCATAATTTTTTTTAGTTGAAAGACAGGAAACTTAGTTGAGTTTGTATTATTTTTATCGTTCAATTCATTGTATATGTGAGTGATCCAGATATTTAAGATATTTAGAAAAAATTTATTAATTTGATTAACAAATTTTAATCAAAATAGCAAAAATCTATTTGATAGCTGTAAGCAAATAATAATTTCTATTTCAATCAAAATCACTTATTTTCATCTAAACGTATAAAATTGTCAATTTTATGAGAATAAATTTAAAATCTCATGAAATATAAAGGAGAGTAATATTTTTCAATTTTCTTTTTTTCTTTCTCTCAAATATTTTCTATTGGGAATTTTCTTGTTATCAAAAAATAATTTTAATATTTGTTTATTTCATTACATACAATAAAATTTTAAAAGCTCTATTTCTTCACAAGAAAATTTTTTTCCTTCATATGAAGAAACATTTTGTTCTCCATTTGATGCTGAGTCTAAATCTCGATTTTTGAATTTTCTTCTTTCCAAATTTCTTTTTTCCAAATTAGAAGTTTAATTCAAATTTTCAATAGTTTATATATTTTCTCAAACCGTCTTAGATTTTCTCACTTTTTAGGGATTTTCTCTCAAAATATACAAAAATAGTAATACCAATACATGTGTCTAATATACTTTAAAACCATCGTGATAAAATTCAAAAACGAAGAGTTCTTCTCTCCAAATTTTTTTCAAAATCAAAAAAATGAGATAAAAAAATACAAAGGTAGTCTCACGAAAATACGTTATTTTCCCGATGCCTTGGAAGCAGCTTTGCAGGTTACCCGTAAGGTAACCAGTAGAAGTTTCTGAGCAAGGATGAAGAAGGTTAAAGAGCCTTTTTATTGCAAACGCTATATTTGTAAGTGTCTTTGTAGAACTTCTCATAAATTCAAAGATTTCCAAAAACGAATTTTTCGATTTTGATATAATAAATGATATTTAAACAAATTATAGATGTGTTTGCAATTAAAAAAATCCGAGTTAACTACAATATCTTCAATTTTTGGCGTTCACTTTTTCATGTCATACTGATAGCAAGAATGTTATAGACCGAAAATAGATTTTTTCGGTTTTCTCTTCAAATAATTGAAAGAATGATACTATTATAGGTTTATTATATTATATAGCATATAATCATGCTATAGCCGAAAATTATAAGTTTTGAGAAGATTGAATATAACACAAATAAATTTGAATGTAAGTTAAATTGCTTGTTGTTTTTAATAGCTATTTAATGAGAAATCCAATATTGCAAAATTCAAATTGAATGATTGAAAGAACAGAAAAAGTCATTCTTTTCAATTTCGAATGTGTTTCATTGTATTTATAATTATATGGCAAATAAGATATTTAAATTTGATTTTTGAAGGAAAATTCACAAAATTGAATAAATTCAAATAATTTTTATTCAAAAATAAACTAGTTATTTGAGTTTAATACTAATTATCTATTCAAACTACAAAGTTTGTAATTTAAAATATTTTGTGAGATCAGATTGAATTAATTCAAGGTTCTTTTCAATTAATATAAATGACCATATTACGCATTTTCGAACATTTTAAACCAAATATATAAAAATGGGAGACGAATGTTAAATTTGCTACACATGGGGGAGTTGTCTGCAAAGTTTTAGCTCTTATCTCTAACAAAAAATTAATTTTTAAAAAAATGACCGAATACGTTTCACAGCGAGAAAAAAATAAAAGGCAAGATAGAATTTTCTAGACATAAAGAAGTTGTTTACCGAGTTTTAGCTCTTATCTCTAACAAAAAATTAATTTTTAAAAAAATGACCGAATACGTTTCACAGCGAGAAAAAAATAAAAGGCAAGATAGAATTTTCTAGACATAAAGAAGTTGTTTACCGAGTTTTAGCTCTTATCTCTAACAAAAAATTAATTTTTAAAAAAATGACCGAATACGTTTCACAGCGAGAAAAAAATAAAAGGCAAGATAGAATTTTCTAGACATAAAGAAGTTGTTTACCGAGTTTTAGCTCTTATCTCTAACAAAAAATTAATTTTTAAAAAAATGACCGAATACGTTTCACAGCGAGAAAAAAATAAAAGGCAAGATAGAATTTTCTAGACATAAAGAAGTTGTTTACCGAGTTTTAGCTCTTATCTCTAACAAAAAATTAATTTTTAAAAAAATGACCGAATACGTTTCACAGCGAGAAAAAAATAAAAGGCAAGATAGAATTTTCTAGACATAAAGAAGTTGTTTACCGAGTTTTAGCTCTTATCTCTAACAAAAAATTAATTTTTAAAAAAATGACCGAATACGTTTCACAGCGAGAAAAAAATAAAAGGCAAGATAGAATTTTCTAGACATAAAGAAGTTGTTTACCGAGTTTTAGCTCTTATCTCTAACAAAAAATTAATTTTTAAAAAAATGACCGAATACGTTTCACAGCGAGAAAAAAATAAAAGGCAAGATAGAATTTTCTAGACATAAAGAAGTTGTCTACCAATTGTCAGCTGTTACTTCTTCTCAAAACTGATATAAAATAAAAATCTTTATTATTTATTTAACCTTTATTGTTTCATTAAACTTCATTTATTTTATATTATAGTTTTATTCTTTTAGCTACTTGTAAAATAATCTAATTTTATATCATCATTTTACCGGATTATTCTTCAGTACATCGATTGTGTATCTAAAATAATATCATTATCCTTATTCTGTTTTTTCCAAAATTCTTTTAAATATCTTATTTGGTTAGATTACTTTATACTTTTTACTTTTATTTTTTAATTTCAAAAAAAATTTGGTGATTGTTCTATTCTGTTACAATGTGCATTATCATATTCTAATGAATTATTCATTACATACATTTAAAAAACTTGTTAAAAATGAAATTAAAAAATTATGTTTATTATTACGCTGTGAATCTGTCAACAGCGGTCATGCCTGTATCTGTATCCCATATTTGCCACAACCTTTCTGTATCTGCATTTGTGTATTTCGGTTTCAGCTGATACATTTGATTTGGCGTGTAATTTGTTCCAGTTAATGGATTAATTGGGAGATCTTCATGCGGTGTGTTATTATTATACTCCCAAATAAAGGCGGGAATAGCCTGAATGCTTTGGCAGCGCTCCAATTTCGGCCAGAATCTCTCAATCTTCCCATTTTGGTAGGGAGAATGAGAGTCTGTATGCCGCCATTGGACGCCTCAAAGATCAAGTAGATCTTGAAAGGTGCTCCTATTTTCTGAACGGTTGTCGGTCCAGAAACAATAAGGGGCGCCAAATTCAATGAAGGCGGAAGCCGCAACGTTCGCTGTCGTCGCTGCCAGCATATCTGGTATTTGTATACACGCTAGGACTTTGCGGCTAAAATCGTCGATTATGCCATAAATATACTGGCCACGAACACCCCTAAAATAATGAACATCTGCGTGCCAGATAAGATTGGGTGAAAGCGCCCAATATCTTACTGCTGTTTCTGGCCCGGCATGCTCTAATCGCGTCTTGGTGAAATGATTTTCTTTGAAGTATCTGCGTACTTCTCTATAAGATACATCAATTTGTTGTAATTTCAAAC